TTTAAATAATGTATTTCAAACACAAATAAATAAAGTGATCAAAACAAAATTTCTAAAAGAGGCCAGAAAAATGTTAATATTTCTTAAATTATAGTTTGGATTTTATCCATAGCAGGTGTGTATACACCAGAAATAGGCATTACTCGTGTTTCTATTTTGGTTGTAATTGGCCTAAATATTTAGAAAAATTTTTTGATCACTTGTTATATATACAGAACAATATTTAATAAAAAAAAAAAATAAACAATAAAATACTAACAAAAAATATATATGAAAATAAAAATCTTAGCTTAACACTTTGGATGTGTTGTGTCCTAGACGGGCCTTAGCTAACTTAAGCTAATCTTGCATGGCACACCTAATCGTTCGGTTGGTTAAGTCGCTTGGTTCACCCCCATTCCTATAATCAAAATGTAACTAAATTTCAGGTGAAATATTTTCTAAAAGCTCCGAAGTTAAATTTGTATTATTTTCTTGGAAATTTTTATAAATAATAGAATCAGATGATTTATTAATGTCCGAAGCCTTATGAATGTTATCTTCATTGGGAATTAAAAAAAATTGATTTGACTTTAAAGCATCTTGAACATTTTGCGCTATTTTTCTACGTAGATGACGCAGAGACAGGGTTATTTTGGACATTTTATTACATAAAAAACAACTGACCAAAAAAGGGAAAATAAGTATGCTTGGAATAACTAGGTAACCTAAAAAATACGTATAAAAAAAGAAACAAAAGAAAGGTTAGGTTTTGAAGTTTCTATAAGCATTTAACACACTGTACGTACCTATAAAACAGTAGTTGTTGTAAAATGCAACAATTATTAAAGGAGTAGCTAAATTAAAACATTAATAGAAACTTACCTATGCTTTTAATCAATATCGTAAAAGCCAGGACGCCAAAGCAACATGTAACAAAACGTGTACACAAATGAAAATGGACCAACCGATGAACCTGCTCCCCAGGGTTGCCAACCGGTCTTTACCAATTTACTCTCAAAAACTTTTCCGGATTACTCACAATTACTCACAACTTGAAAATATCAATATTACTAGTTTTTTTATATAAATCGTATATTTCGTACTCTTGCACTTTGGTTTGAATTTATTTTACTACTGTGCAATGTTGCCAAACATTAAAAGAGAAATTTTCAGAACATACAAGAGTCAAAACAGATGCACCTTTTTTCTGTTCATTCATTATTTTAATAACCAAGTAATATACAGGTTGATTCATAACTATTGGGACATAGGCTAAGGCAGGTTATTTGGATAAAAATATGGCGATAGGACCAAATATACCTTAATAAAATATTGCTGTGGAATAAGATACAGGGGTCTATTCTGTAACAATTCCTTTATATTTAACGGCCTCTAAAAATATTTTCTTCTTTACTTCTGTCATTAATTAAACGGATCTTTAAAATACATTAGAGGACTATCTTAAAGAAGTCTGTTTAAATAATGACAGAAGTAAATTAACGAATACAAACCTATTTTTAAAGGTCGCCAATATTTTTAAAGGCCGTTAAATATAAAGCAATTGTTACAGAATAGACCCCACAGGGCGTTAAATTTGAATACTGTTTTTTTGTTTTTTTCTGATGTCACTGTAGATTTATGAATTGATATCAAAATTGGCACAGAGGCATATTTTTCGACAAGGAATAATATTTTGTGTATTATTTCACATTTTGTTACAGGAGGCGCCACGTGAATGATTCCTGATGATGAAATTAAGTGGTAGCTTTTTTTACGAAACTTTTTAGTATGATTAGAAAATTTCACCCGTTTTCGAGAAAAACGCAATTGAACAACTCACAAAACATTTCATTTATGAAAAGTTTGCTTTGTTGTGTCAAATAATTTGCTGTTAGATTATAGTCTACATTATTATTATTACTATTATTAATATTATTTAACGCCCTGTATCTTATTCCACAGCAATATTTTATTAAGGTATATATTTGGCCCTATCCCCATATTTTGATACAAATAACCTGCCCTTAGCCTATGTTCCAAATAGTTATGAACCACTCTGTATATAAAACATCTTTGTCATCAGCTGAACAAAAAACAGATCAAAAGGTTTGGAGAATCAGAGTAGCTTCTTTATTAACGGGCCAAATCATAATAAATCATTAAATAATTCTAATACTTAAAAAAAATCTACTTTTAAAATGAACAAAAAAAATATATTAATCGACGATTGGGACTATCCACTATCGACACGACACCTATATTGTTGTAAAATATCAAAATTACTTTTACTCTTTTACATTGACCAAGACCAAGCAATAGAGGACGTTGCAATTTTAAAACTATAAAATTGTAATGACTGCTAAAAGTGCTGGGGGGGGGGGGGGGGTAAAATAAGGCTTATATTAAAATTTTAAAAAGAACACGGTTTTAATAAATTATCTGATCAGGATTTTGCCTAACTACCATGACTTCCCGATTACTCACATATTACTCACAATTGCCCTTTACTCACAAAATTACTCACAGACTAGTAAATTACTCACAAATGTGAGGAATTACTCACAGATTGGCAACCCTGCTGCTCCCACAAACCATTCCCTACACTAAACAATAATACTATACATACGCATGAGTAGGAATGAGAAAAGACCGTACCACTAGTACGTCATCCTCCATCCGCCATCTAAAAATAGTTCCATGTGTATGGGGAATTTGTTATAAATATGACAGGTAATATAATTAAAAAAATATGGATGTAATGTAAATAAATATATCTATAAGCTTTTAATTTAAATAAACCTAAATATATACATATTATTTACTTCTGTCTACTAGTTCATCGTAAACTGGTATTATGCGATTAAGGTGACTTATATTTAAACGTAGAATAATATAGGTATATTAACTAGTATCGACAAACAAAAGCGTTTAATTTATCTGTTAAAAAACGTTAAGTATAAAAATGGTAGATGGTAAATGTTTAAAAAATCAACCAAGACGAAATTTAAACGGGAATTATAAACGAAGAAAACATATTGTAATATAATGTAAATTTATACGAGTTTAATTTAAATAAACCTAAACGTATATTTACACCCACTGTATATAAATAGTTCATCGCAAACTAAAAATAGTCGTATATTGTTAACTATATTTAAACGTAGAAAAATTTACAATTATATATCATAGGATGTAGATAAAAATCGTATAATATATTGTTTAAAACACGGTATGTATAATAATCGTAAACTGTAAACATATACGGAATCAACCAATACCAAAATTAAACGAGTATTACGTATAAAATACGTTAGTTATACTAATGTGTGCTGTCTGGGAATATTTATAGTTCTTGATTATTTATCGAGTGTAGAAAAAATAGCGTATGCAACTCTCATGTAATGGTTACTACATGATCGTTGCATAATATACTATTATTCAAACAATCAATATGAATTCTAGTCTATTAAAAGTACAATAATAGCTCAAATGACATTAAGTATCATGTATCCGACAATATATATATTTTATGGAATAGTTGTAGATAAAATTGTTTTGAATTTTATATTAATCTAATTTCTATCGATTTTGTACTAAAAAACGTTCAGTTTCACAGCAATATATTTATTTAATAAACAAAAGTGGGTTTTGTAATAGGTATTCTTAAAAAGTCGTACCTACTTCTCAAACAAAGACAGGTTTTTTTTTCTTTCGAACCTTGTCGGTAACACAAAAATCCAATCCCCTCAATAAGAATTCCACCCGAAAACATCTCACAAGTCAGCCATAACAATTAACTGTTATCTAAATGCCTAACAAATTGATTCCATTCATTCGCAAAAAAGTTCCATCTGTAAAATTCCCATTATCTCCGAACCAATGATTGAGGCAGCATAAGCGCAGTAAAAAAGCAGTTTTGTCGCAGTAGACCGGTATCCGCGGAAATCAAGGGCAGCTGAGGATTCTACATAGTCTGATGGTCATGTGTCTGAAGGATATTGATTGATACACGACAGCATACTTGACAGGGGCAGTTGCAATTAAAACTATGATTTATTTCAAAGAAATTTCAAGAAATTTAAAAAATGTTACTGATTTCTTGCTAATTAAGAATAAATATTGCGTTCAATGTATTTCTTAAAGTCATTAAATGTATCTTTTCTGATATGTATCGATTTTGTTTTATTGCATATTAACAAATACTAAACTGTCATGCCAGCATAAATACATATCGCTGACACAGAAGTAAAAACAAATGATGAAATATTTTTTGAACTAGTGTAATTATACATGGCAATTGTTTTATCGTTTATAGGCCTATTTCTTCATATATTTATAAAAAGACAATTTCAGTTAGAGGTATAGTATTCTCTATGATCCATAAAATAGAGGTCATATATGTATAATATAGTCGCTGTAAGCCTTTTGCTGTATTCCAATGGCCATTTAGAGAGCTCCATTTTTAGAGGTTTTCTCTAAATATAATTCTTATAGATAATTATTGATAGAAAAATAGGGGTTTGCCAGGTTGTCTATCAAAATATGGCCGCAAGTACTTTTAATAGAACATTGTAAAGGGTAATTTTGCTACTTTGAGGTATATTTCTGTTATTTATGATTATAGAAGAAAATTCTTTTTAAAAGTGTTGTATGCGGTGATAGTATCTAAAATTTAATTTTATTTATTTACATCTTTTCTAAAAAATGGACCCAATTTTGTCGAGTTCAAATTAGAATTACTTAACCAGAAATAATAAAAGTAAATACGTGTAAATCCAAACCTACTTTTTCGCCATTTTAGTAAGTGCAAAAGACACGCCTAGCGATCCCAGTTTTGTATATCAAAAATAGTTACAAATAACACATCCTCAGATTGCTTTAACTATATATAGCCCAGTTAACAAAAATTTAACTTTCTTTTAAAATATATCAATTTTTATGCCTTTATAAAATCCTAAATTCCAAAAATATTACTTGAGTATATATAAAATAAAAATTCCATAATTTTTATTTTCTAGAAATGCTCCAACAAGGCGAGCTGTCCTCTTCTATGGAATCCTTGTCATACGACTCTTCAGTTACGTCACCAGCTTCAAGTAACGGTCACCAAAATCAAAGAACAAAGAGGATGAGGACCTCTTTCAAACACCACCAGCTGAGAACAATGAAGACCTATTTCGCAATCAATCAAAATCCCGACGCTAAGGATTTGAAACAATTAGCGCAGAAAACTGGGTTGTCGAAGCGAGTGTTGCAGGTAAAGATGTTAATAATTTTGTCAGCTTTCTTATTATTTTAAATTATAGGGTATCGACAAGGCGGTAACTTTCCTAGGTATAATAATTTTCAAAACAAGCTGTTAGAATTAAAATGTATAGGATCTTACAATAATAAAACAAACATAAACATATTTAAAACACAGAAAGAGGATTATTAATATGTAGGGTAAAGTAATAATGAAAATGTTACTAATATTATACATTAAATTTGGAAAAAATACTAATAAATGAACACAAATGTTTAAAAATAAAGTATCTATTATTATTTTTTTAACACAGTGGTAATACAAGCTGGGTAATTTTTAAGAGAACTTAATTAATATAAAAAATCATTACCATCAAGCATATTTTAGGAAAACAATTGAATCGTTTATTTCAGAAACAACCTAAGTCACTTTATAAGAATTTTCGGGAGGTAAAAAAGAATGTTTTGAACTAGGACCAGGACTAAGGTTGTTTCAGAAATAAACAAAAATTTTAAATTATCATATAACTAAGGATGTTTACAGAAGTTGGGTTTTTTGCATTAAACCTGCGATACTCTGAAACTACAATGTTAATGTGATAAACTCAATATGGATAAAAAATGACTTATGTTGTTTCTGAAATAAACGATTCAATTAACAAAACCAGTTGAATGTACAATCGTATTCGATATATTGTAAACAAAAAGTAGTTTTAAAAAGAACTAATTACTTGTACTATATTTTTCATATTAAGTAATGCATCTTTAATTATTCCTTGGAAATAGTCTTATCAAAATTCAATAAAAAATGTCAATATTGTAATGTGAGCCATTTCATTATTTAGTCATGCTCTAATCCTCCAAGTCCCTGTCTGTCTTATTTGGCCTTTGAGGCTCAACTTGTCCGATTATCATACATAATTAAACCCCTTAAGACCAAACATATGTGAAGACTATGGCGGAGGAGCTTTCGATGACCATTCGAGAAAGAACGGGATGTTTCTAGTATATTGGTGAGAATAGGTGAACTTTCTAGCTCATTCGCCAATTTTTAAATTTGTATATAAATATTGGTGGAGGACCAAGCGAGAGTTAGTTATTATATGGACAGTAAAGATAAATATTAAAGAGTTTAAAGACATTCGAAATATGTATAAATTAGAATAATAGTGTTATAAAATAAATAAGTGTTTAAATAAATTATTATTAAATAAACTGTTGTTTAAAATAAACAAACATCACAATACTATTGTTTCCAAATAATAAAACAGTTTTAAAAAGGTAATAAAAAATGTTAAAATTACAAACTAAATGGCAAAAGTTTACCATAGATTTACAATGCTTGATTGACTTATTTTTATATTAATTTAATTTAACTCTTAGAAACAATCAATTATTTCGGTAATGTTTTGAACTATACACAAAAGGGTTGCTAAATTCTTAAAAGTGCATAACATAATAATGAAAAGTAATTAAAAGATATATATGTTTAATTATTTTTATTAGTATACGCACCTTTTTTGGCTGCATGCATTTAGGGAATTTAGGAAATATAGTGGGAACTGCTCCATTTAGTAAACTTCTTTTACAGTCCGTCCCATAAAAAAAATGTCTTTCAAAATGTTTTGAACACTATCATTTGGCGTAGGCATCCAACTTGCAATTTTCGTTGTCTGAATCCAAATTTTTTTTGCTGGATTCACAGAAAATCTAAAATAAAACAAAAAATAAACATTGCTGCAATTAAATAAAAAGCAAAAGTAAATTAGAATTTAATAAAAGTTAATATTTAGAATTGTACGACACGCCACTGGAAAAAATTACTTGTTTCGTCATTTTAATATCATTAATTACCTAAATATTAATGAAAAGCATGAAATAAACAAACTTGGTGGGTTAATATTATTACTCTGGAGTGAGACCTGTACAATATCTAAATACCAAGTTGTATAACACCAAATAAAATGAAAAATATAAGAAAATATATAAAGTAAAAACGATTGATATTTATCATTTACCTGAGGAACGTAATATCTATTTCTTTCTTGCCGCTCTTACTTTTACACTGATATGCCACACAATAAACCATTGTAATAAACCAATTATTAAATTACTTTTAATTCAAAAATCAGAAATAAACACAAAAACTTTGGTGTCACCGAAATGCTAAGCATCAAAATAATGGCGGCCAATAGATAATCGGCACAAAATAATACGTGTGCTCGGTATACTTGTTACGTCTCCTCTCTTTATTACCTAGTCTAAGGTAGATCTTAACTTTCCTGCTCGTTCCACATATTTAAGCAGAGCAGTTCATAAAAGGGGGTTGGGTTTAAATGGCTTTGATATCTTTCCAATACATGAGTGTTGCACCTTTTGTCCATGACCAGACATTTCCCGGAATGACTGATTTCCAATCAGATATTTGAATCTAATAGATACATTTTTTGTTAATTTAAGGTATGGTTCCAAAACGCAAGAGCAAAATGGAGACGAAACATAATGAGACAAGAAGGATCCAACAACAACAACAACAATATAACGCAGTGTCCAAATGGTCCCCCATCAGCTGGATCTACAGGCATGGAAAGCACAAATATATCCCATCAATCTTTAGATGAATTACATCACCATCTGCATTCCCAAAACTCACAGACTTTAACTTTTAGTGATATTTACTAGTTGTACGAAATGTTAAAAGTGTTTATCGGAAGAGACAATTTTTAATAATAGCACAGTGAAAAAGATTTGAAAATTCAAATTATTGTTTTATTAAGTTTTTTAATTGTAATAAAAATTTAAGCACGATAAAATATTGCCGGAAGACATTAAGAAAGAGAAACCTTGTAAGCAGTTTTTAAATACAGAAAAATTTTAAAATTTAGAGGTGTATTGGGCTCCATCTTTGAAGGTTAACAACGTAGTTAATAATGGTATTATTAAAAATACCATTTCATTTAATGTATCTCCACTAATTTTTTGTCGACAATTGCAACTCTGATTCTAGTAAATACAATATTATTCCATGAAAAGATCTAGAGTAATCAAATTTGGTGCATTTTAACCTCAAAACATTTTCACTTTAGCATTTAGTAGTACACAAAATGTTCCTTTATTATAGTGATAATTTAATCAAACTAGATATTAATTTCTAGTTAATTTATGAATGTCGAGTTAATTAGAAGAGAATTTCTTTATCTTTGTAAATAGGTTAGATTTTAATGTGACACTCAATGTGCAATCTGTAAAAAGTAATATTTTTGTGAAGTTATATAATCGTACTTCTAACATATTTTTTGAACTAAATTGATACTAGTAATTACTTTGTTGATCTAAACTGACTATATATATTTTTTTTCGAAATAAATTTCAGATTAGGTCGACAAAGATACTGTTCCTTTTAGGGTAGTTATTTAAGTGCTACCAATATTGATTTTTTTAATTGTTACAGATTTTAACTTTTATTACGAGGTTTACTAATTTTATGTTTTCTTCAAGACCAAAATAGTTCCTGAAACTTTAAACATTTAGAAAAAAAAATACTTAAAAAAATATATTTTTCAATGTTACAAAAATCGCAATATGTATCGAAAATTTCAATCTGTTAAAGCTTAGAAAAAATCCCCATTTAAGTATTTTTTTTAAATTTTGTTGGCTAAATGTCAAAATTAATATGATATACAAAATCTCAAATCATTTAAAACGCATTGTAAATATATACCTCCAATGATTGATTTACAATAGTATTTAAATATATAATTATATGGATATTGTACATTTTGTAAAAACAATAAATTTATTCATTTTTAAATGTTTATTATTATACCCTTTGACCCTTATTAATCAAAACGTAAGAATATTCGAAAAAGTAATCCAGACTAGATTAAACAATTTCATAGATAAACACAAATTACTTTCAGCAGCACAATACGGATTTAGGCCAAACTTGTCTACTCAAACTGCTATTAAAGTATTAACTGAGAGTATTGACAAGACTATGCCATCTATTGGTATATATTCATAGATTTAGCAAAGGCTTTCGATCTTAACATCCTTCTTAATATATTGTTATGATATGGGTACAAGGGGTATTCCACATGAACTTTTAAAAAGTTACTTAAGAAATAGAAAACAAAAAGTAAAAATAGGTGACATGTTGAGCCAAGAAAAAACTATTACTTGTGGAGTACCACAAGGGACTGTGCTAGGGCCTTAATATATATTTATAGTTTTGCTGATGATACTGTATTGTTTTGTGAAGATAGTAACTGGTATACCCTAAAGATAAAATTAGAACAAGACTTAGAAAAAATAAAGATGTGGTTTGATCATAGGCTCTTGTCATTAAACTTTAAAAAAACAAATTACATACCATTTAGTTCTTATAGTAACGCTCTTCCGGATTATAACCTTATTGTTAAAAATATTTTTAGCATAACACCTGTAAATAAAATACCTTGGAATTATAATAGACCATAACTTAAGTAGGGGTCAACACATTTTCTTTTACTATACAAAGAATGGTCGCACTGCGCAGCTTTCTGAGTGCCTTTTAAAAGGAGATAGAAAACTCCGCCATTTTGAACCCTTATTACGTGTTGCCTACATCTTGGCGCAATATTTTTAATAGGTGCGTTTTAATCATCCGCTTCTGCTTCGGAATTGTCGGTTTTCTTGTTTTAATCTGACAGGTTAAAACGACTAAACCGACAATTCCGGAAGCAGAAGCGGATGATTAAAACGCACCTGATATTTTGCTTGCTGCTGTCAGTGTCAGTGAATATTATTTTTGAAGTCACAGTTTATTGCTAAAGAATCAGTTAGCTCACTCGGACCAGTTGAAAGTTTTAAAAATAACATCCACTCCAGGGATACAAATTCAGGATACGCAGAAGACTGCTGTTTTATTACAGGCGGTTGTCATATATTGTATTATCCGAGTTGCACAGTGTATAAACTAAAACATTGAGATCAAAAGTGCCGACGCAGAGTGAGCGATCTGATTCTTTAGCTGTAAACTGTGTCACAGGGTTCAAAATGGCCGCGCCCTATGTTGGGCGTGTCGGACCTCTCTCTTGCCTCGTATAGTAATCAAAGTATGTGGTATTGTCTAACCGCTGAACCAACTTATACCGTTCAGGTACTTTTAATTGTTGACTTCCACCATATCAGAAACATGTTTTCGGTTTTAATCAACTGTTGCGTCGGCTGAACGCGCCCATTACAACATAGCAGAACGAAATTGTGCATAATACTTTTTCATTGACAGTTATCATGACATCATATTATGTGACAAGGATAGAGCTAACATCCGCAGGAACATACCGGTATTTGTGTATCGTGTGTCAACGTCAAAACGTTTTTAAAATGCCTTTAAAGAAGCAAGTTTTTCTTATTACCGTTACTGTTTTAGAAGGGAGGCATTACGTATGGCCCAACATGGATTCAGCAGTTATTACAAGAATAGATGATGCTCACAAATGTACAGGCGTAAGGAAAAATTCAGATGCTCCTTACTACAACGAGGTAAAGTTAAGCTAGTTAGTTATATTAGTTTATAAAATAAATTAAAATAATTTTTGTCTAACATAGATTTTAAAAGAATTAGTGTTTGATTAGCATAAAGTCGGCTTACTTTCAAAACCTCCGTCCGTTTTTAGCTATTTACGAGATTTTGATACAAACAGATTTAAAATATTAATATTTAACATCTGCAAACGCTTCTCAGTTTTAATTTGATTGTAGCAACATCCATTGGACGATATTGAAATCTTCTAAGTCGTTGCAGGATGTATCAAAACCTCTTAAATAGTAGAAACAGACTTAGGAGGTTTTCAAAGTAAGCTGACGATAAACCTTTTTTTTAAATATTTTACAAACATTCTTAATTTCTTTTAGTATTTCGTGTTTGAATTCTACACAACCCTAGAAACAATTTTAGAAAAAAATATTACAATAACGGTAATTGTAGATTAGTATTTTAGCAAAAAATGCTTAACTTATTTTAAATTTCAAAATAGGTGATAGTTCCCTGTAATTTGTGGAGAAAAAGAAAAATTCTTGGATACGTTTCCCTTGATGTAGCGACAGTATGGCAGCAAAAAAGTATTATTTAGTAATGTAGGAAATTTTATTTAGGATTTTATTAGTTTTGATTTTTAGATCACCAGTTTTTTCACAAATGGGCCATTTTAAGTACTATGAAAACTGAAGCATATAGTGGACCTCGAGGATATCTAAAGTTGGATATTTCTGTTTTGGCTAAAGGAGAAATTCCTAAAATTCCTCCTAACGTAATCAATGATGAAATTGAAGGGTACGATATTTTCTAACTGATTGTTAATGTTATTTCAATGAATTCATATATGATTTTATTAAAAAAAAAAATATTTAAAATAATTACTCATTTTAGTAACTTACTTCTTCCCGAAGGAAAATTTACAGAAAGACAAAAAGCTAAATATATGTTTGATATATATTGTTGTAAAAATTTGATAGATAAACCTTCAAATATTGTCCGAGAAAGATTAAACATTGTAGAAGAGTTAAAAGTTACTGGGCCGACGACTTTTGTTGAAGTTTCTTTTGCAGGCGTTTCAGTAAGTCTTAAACAAGTCAATATAATTAGGTAGTTCAATAAGAATAGAAAAAGTTTCATTAAATAATATGAAAACAACAAAGACAAATACACTTTCATCATATCCTTTCTTGGATTTTAACCAGTTAATGTTTTTTTAATAATATTTAAGGAGATCAGAATTGGTTGTTACAAGGGCAGGTTGTTACAATTTAAAATACGTTCAGTGTATCCAGTGTGATCTTCGAGTGAATACTAAAAATCGCAAACGTCGAAAAGCTGTAATTTTAAGAGATAATCCAAACAGAAATGAGTTACAGGCAGACAAAGACGATGAAGAAAAGACTGAATATTATGTACAATTAGAGGGAATGTATGATAATCTACGAAATATGATATAAAAATAGTGTTAGGCGACAATAGATAGGGAAGAAATGTGTGAACCAATTGTAAGCAGGCCAAAGAAGCAGGCCAAAGAAGCAGGCATAGTCTACATATAAACAGTAACAAATATGGAAAAAATTTATTGAATTTGCCACAGAACAGCGTTTAAGAATAATAAAAATATTCACAAGGGAACTAAAGCCGCCAAATGGGGTCACAGTAGACGAAACCTATTATTTCTGATGGAAAGGCATAAAAGAATGTAAGAGATGAACGATTATTTAGGAGAGCAGACATGGACTTGTAATTTTTTTGGTAGGGATTTTAATCGAAGAAATTATTAATGCCAAGGTAGTAAAGAAAAGTTATAAAAATCACTATAATTTAGAGATTCTTAAAAATAAAGATATAAAAGTAGATTATCAAAAAAAAAAATAAATGTTAAATTAGAAAACCATCAAAATGCTACAAATATAAATGAAAAATGGGAAACGGTGAAGGAAACTGTCTTTGAGGAAATACAAATAATTGAAAGCGACAAAGAAACAAATAATAGGAAAAACGAGTAGATTAATGAAGATTATAAACGTTTATTATAGAAGACTAGAACTCATGGAACATTCATCGGAAGAAAAAAGAGACAGTTGCAGTAAAACAAGAAGAAAACTTTAACAGATATGCAGTCAAAAGAAAAGAAAATGTTTAGTTAACAAAATAAAAAATATAGAAACTAAATTAAATAAAAATAATACGAGAGAATTTTACAATGACGTTACAAATGATAAGAAATATTAACAGTAAAGGCAACTGTTTATTGAGAATAAAAGTGGATTGTTTTTAAAGATACAGCAGAAATAAACGAAGGAATATTTTGTGATTCATTAATTAATGGGATCAGCCAAGAGGTAGAAATTGGAGAAGAACAAAATGGAGGAGAAATACAGGTCGAAATTCCAAATAAAAGAGACATAAGATAAATCTTAAATAAGCTGAAAAATAACAAAAGTCATGCCGAAAACAGTCAATTTGCAGAAATGCCCGAGTATAGAGGAGACCTGTTTAAACGCTATCGGGAAGAAATAATACAGAAATTATGAAAAAAAAAAAAAAGAAATGCCAGATAGATGGCACTAAAACGGTTATTTATCCTTTGGTAGCAATTAAAAATGGAAACTATTGTGAGTAATTATCAAGCTTGGTTCAGAAAGTGAAATCAATTGTAGATCATATACATGCACAAAGAGAAATATAAAAAAGTGTCAAAGAATATTAAATGAAACTATAATGCAGTATTTATTGATTTTAAACATAGGCATACGATAGTATAAAAGAGGTTTAAATATATAAAATACTTATAATATTTCTAAGAAAATTATCAGGCTTAATAAAATGTCATTGACATCAGATATAAAATAAAAGTTGGAAGGTCATTATCGCAATGTTCTGATGTACAATAAGATGTTCGGCAAGAAGACCCACTTTCCACAGTACTCTTTAATTTAATACTGAATAGTGTGGTGAAAAAAAAGTAACATGAAAAACAATTAAAACCATATATTCAAAAAGTCACCAGTGTTTTATATATACAGATGATATTATAATATCGCACACAAAAAAGAAACTCCTTAAAGTTATTCAGCAATTTCAAGCAGAGGTGTCAATTTTAGGTTTAGAACTTAACGAACAAAAAACAAAAAGTCAAAAAGTATATAAAAATAGGTTTCTTTATGATGAAAAAAGGAAGGAGTAACAAATTAGGATTAAAAAAATTGCTTAGAACAAGACCCTAGAAATAGGAACAGTAGAACGGTATAAATACTTGTACATATTTCATGAAGAAGGTGGAAATAGCGAAGAAATAAAAGAAAGAATAAGGAACAGAAATATATGTGCGGAGAGGCTATTGAGTTTAATAGAAGCAAAAATGTATCTAAAAATGTCGACAGAAACCACGGCTTCTGATACATGAACTCTAATCAAAGATATGACAAACAGACTGGAGATATGGGAAAGAAGGTGTAATAAAGAGTTGTGTAAAGAATCCCTGTTTCAAAAAGGTATGTCATAAATTCATCCTCAGATAGATTACCAAAAAATAAGTGGATTTCGCTATATTTACCTACATCAAAAACTGGCTCCCAACACAGTTACAGGGTGTTAAACTAACATTCAGAAAAACGTTTTTTTTTTTTTGTAAAAAGTTTGCTGTTGCGATTTTTTCTTCGAAATTTTTACCAGTGCTGTAGATTTTGGGCCAATATTCCAAGGAGAAAAAAAATTTAAAGCGACCCCTTTAAAAAAAGTTGAAGGGTTGGGTACCATTTAACCCCCCCGTATTTTTTTGACATAAAGAAAATTGCTCGATCGATGCTAAAATCAAAAAAAACGATGAATTTTTAAAATTTTTTTATAGCGAAATGAACTTTGTATCTTTCTTAGTTAACGAGCTATTTACAATTTTTTGCAAGTGAATTTCTAGAGCAATTCGTCCATTCTGGACTTAACATATCAACAAAACTAAGAATAGGTCAGGAGTAATTGTACAATAAAAGGCATATAAAAATCAGTGGCAAAATTTTGAAGAAAAAATCGCAACAGCAAACTTTTTACAAAAAAAAAAAAACGTTTTTCTGAATATTAGTTTAACACCCTGTAACTTTGTTGGGAGCCAGTTTTTGATATAGGTAAATATAGCCAAATCCACTTATTTTTTGGTTTTCTATATGAGGATGAATTTTTGACATACCTTTTTGAAACACCCTGTATAGTGAAAGTTCATAGAATAAAGTAGCTGGCTGGGACATATCTGACGAATGAGTGAGGGAATGATAGTAAAAGAGGTTTTGTACAGAAATATACTAAGGAATAGAAGAAGGAGAAGACCAAGAGTAAGGCGGAAACAACAAGTAGAAGAAGATTTAAAGACATTGAAAAAAAGAAACTGAATAACAATCACTAAAAAATAAAAAAAATGAAAATGTAGTAAAACAATACTTGTGCCAATATACGTGTTGTGCTTTACATACATATTAGATCAGATTCGATTTGAAAGGACTTTTTTTATTAGACTTAGTAGCCTTTACGTTGGTCTTCGTATATAGGCCTATGCCTTTTACTTTTCTTCGCCTAATGTTAGAAAGCTCAATCTAGCCAGGTCTTTACACTGGCACAGGACATAGATTGATGTTTCCTTTTTTTATTTACAGAACCTCTACAATTTTGCTTCTCCTGTTGAATTAACGACAGTCACGTACCTTCTTAGACGACAGTGTTCAGTAAGAAGAGCTACTGTTATCGCAACGATATGACGGTTCTAATCCAGTAGATCTTTCGTGAACTTGGCTGATGCTTCTTTGATGAACTGTCTCAATCTTGGATAGTTGTTCCACCATTCCTGAGACTCTTCTTGAAACCACTGTTTAATGAATGCCTTGCACAATGCCTTAGCGACTACACAGAAGGGTTCTGGGCCTCTCGTGGTCTTTTTGATGCCTTGATATTCCTCATGGCCTGGAACCCAGCCTAGGATCACCTTATTTTGACTACTTAGCTCTGTAGGTCTTCTAAGCATCCTGTCACCTGTTGCGATTTGATTTCTGGTGAGAGAATTGCCTTTAGAGCTGCTTAGCTATCAGAGTATAAGGCAAAAGTTTTGTCTGATATTGGCTAATTTATTATTTTTCTTGCACAGTATTGTATAGCTTGGAACACTGTAGAATTTCTCCTAGGCTCAGCGAAATCGTTGTTTTCGACTTGGGTTCATAGATTTTAGCACCGGCTCCTTCCTTAGTTCAGCCTGAACGAGAGGTCCCTATGTGCAGGATTTTCGTGTTGGTATTCAAATTTGAAAATTTCTTTTAAATTTTTAAGTAGTTAAGGCTATATCAGTAGGCTAAGGTGCATATAGATATAACGGGCCAGACCCGGGCCGAATCCAGGCTAACAACGGGCCGAGGATTGTCAGATTTGTACGGTGTCGTATATCTACCACGCGATGGAAAGCAAACGGTCTGTTGTTGGCCTGGGTCCGGCCCAGACCCCGCCCGTTATATCGATACGCACCTCCAGAATCTTATCAATGTTTCCTTGCTGGCTCATTGGGTTGTGTCTCTGCATTATCCTGTGAATAACGGACCTTGTTTCTCCTTGTTTGAAGATGTGCAATGGTGGTTTAATAAGACGTCAATTGCTGCAGTTTGCGTAGTATGTATGGTTTTAGTGGCACTCAGACAAGCGAACTGCTAAATGCCAGTGTGTTGGACTATTCCACTTTCCACCACACTTTTGTTTACTCACGTCACTGCGCCATAGATTATTATGGGTCAAATCACATTTGCCTATAACCATAGGGTCATTTTGGGGCATAGAGCTCAGTTTTTACCACATATCCTTCTACAGCTTATGAGAGCTATTGTAGCTTTGTAAGCAAGTTTTTTTAAGTGGTTGATTTTACGTCAGTCTTTGGTCAAATATGACTTCGAGGTATTTGGCTTCTGAGACAAATGGAATAACTATGTTATTTAGTACTAGTGATCTTAGTTCTGTAAGTACTCGCTTTTTTGTGAATGGTACAAATGTTGTTTTTTGTGCGTTAATGGACAATTGCTCCTTTTTGCACCAGTTGTTTACTATGTTTAGAGCTTCGCCCCTTGGCGATAATTGCTAGGTCGTCTGCGTATTCTAGGCAATGGTAGCCTTCTTTGGACAATATTTTGAGTATATCGTCCACTAGAACTAATCACAGTATTAAAGATAGTATTCCTCCTTGTGGGCAGTCCCTTGTAATTTTTTTCTGTATAGTTCGTAGTGTAGATAAGATAATCCTATTCTCTAGGCTGGCAGTGATCCATTGGCATATTGTGAATGAAATCTTGAGCCTTCATTGTGGCATTATTGAAAGCTTCTTCGATAGTTAAGAAAGTGGATAGTTGACTTTCCTAGCTGGTATGCATATTGATTAGGATTTAGCGGGTTTATTTTTAGTATCTCATCCCTGATGTACCTGTCTATCAATCTTTGTAGTAAGAAGGAGGATAGGCACGTTTTTTTCTGTGACATACATAGTAATGCATGTTATTTTGTTTCATATTTGTTTCGTATAAATATAAAAAAAAACATTATCAAAATGAAATTATTTAAAAGTTTAAATAAGTTAAAACTTTAACAACCAATTCCGGTCTCCCTCATGTCTGAAATATGTTATTAATTAATCTTACTTCGATATTGAATGTTCCTTCGATAAAACTTTTTTTAGTCGCTTCTTTTTGTAATTGGCATTTGATTTTATTATTCACTATTGCAAATTTTTACGTCATTGCGAATTACATTACATAAGCCTTTACCTGTTATTTTACCGTTGCTTTTGATATGATAAATAAATTAGGCATCTTTGCACTCTAGGTGAATCATATTTGGTTTTAGGCAAGAACATCGACAAAAAAGAACACATGTTTCCCAGAATTTAATGAAAAATTAACAATAATCGACCTATTTCCTCCTCTTTGTCAAACAATCAAAGTTGAAATCTGTTACGGAGACGTTATAAGAAAATTTGTTCATTCTCAAACTCACATTAATTTGAAACAAATATCTAATGATCATGACGAAGGTTTCCTTCCTACATTAGGACCAATTTACCTTCACTTATACACGAGAAATCCTTTAGAAGGATACGCAGGTTCTGTATTGATGGCTATCAATACAGAAGTTAATGATTCTATTTTTGCAGCTAATAAAAAAGGTACCATGGTCGAAAATATACATCCCATTGTCGAGGTAGGTTACTATGTTTTTTTTTTTATTTACCATTGCTAAGTTAAGTATTGTTTGTTTCAGCAAAAGTATTTCGATTCTGAAGACGTAGTCCTTTTTGGAATAATATACGAGCTTACAGCAATAAGTAAAAAATATGCCAAAAGGGCAATATCTATAATAATGACTTTTGGAGAAACGCTGTGTCAAAAGAAAACCTTTGATGGTCTAGAGGCACCTTGTGTAAATGCGGCGAGTGGATTGTCGCCAGAAAAAATTGGAAAAAATTACTATTATGTTAATTTGTTTGATGAAAAACCTTGTTTATGGATACTCCGGAGTGTTCCGTTTTTTAAGAAGAGGATTTATAACTCTAATATTTTAATAAAAATAACTCAGGGATTGGTATGAATATTAATAAGTTAATAAAATCTATTAAGGGACATTAGAGCTAAAGGTGGTCTAAACTAACAACAAATTTTATATTTCCGTTTTTTTTTTTCATTCTTTTAGAAATGTGAGGAATTAATAAACTAATCCTGATCTATGTATGGCTTTGAGAAATAATGTAATACCTGTTGCGGTATTCACCAAATGAGTAGTTGTTTTTATGAGGGAAAGGGTCGCTCCATGTTTTTGTGATACAGACTTTCCGTTTTTATTTTCTTTCGTTTCTATTTTTAAATTGATCACATTTGAGAATTGAAATTTATTAGTCTGCCTTGTTTTTTGAACTAGATACTGCAGAGAGCTTTGATTTTGCTACCTAAGTGTAGATGGCGTTACTTTGTGTTTTTTAATGGGGCATGTTCAAACATTTTGAAATTTTTTTATAAATAATAATAGTTTAAAATAAAGCTACATTTAAATTTTTTTTCTTTTTATCTATTCATTTGCCCGAGTTATTAATTTTTTAAAATTTATGACGTCACCGGGAATAGATCAATAGGAACTAGTCACGCAACGTTGCCAGTTAGACGATATAGGAAAAGTATTATACGTTCGTTTGTGTGCACCGTCTTACTTTTAGACTTCTAAAATATCGTTAAACAAATATCTTTTAAATATAAAATATAAAATGTTTTTGAAAGTATTATTTATGTTTAAACTCTCACCATATTTATAGTTTCATTGTTTTAAAAAACGACAACTAATAAACAAGAAAATGGCAGCACTGCATGTGTCATCTGTGAATCAGGAATTTTTGTGTTGTCAATTGATAATTATGCTAATTTAATGTTTTTATAAATATTATAAATATGAAAAAAATGTTTCCTCCCAAGATGTGATAATGATTTACATTTTACATTCATTATTAAAAATATTTATTTCGTGCAATCGCACGCGAAGTCAGTATTTCGCGTTCTCAGCACAGTCCGCGAAATTTAATTTCGCGGCCGTTACCCATAGCAACGGCTGCGAAACCAAACGTCACTTCCAAATTTCAATATCACTTCCAAATTTGACATTTCTAAAATATTACAAAGACAAGGATTATTTTTTATTGAATACCAACAAATACATAAGTACTTATATTATTTAGGATGAATATTAACATTAATTGTACAGTTTGTATTATTACTTATATTTACTCCAGAAGTTGAAGCAACTACATCTAGTGTTTCTGAATAATGCTTATTGCCTACATTCAAACCAGATAATATATCGCCAGAAATTAAGTTGGAAATTTGCTTCTTGTTTTCGGGTATAAAAACGGAAATCGCCGAATTTACAACTCTCTTGAGTTTAGGAGGAGTGGAAGGTACTGAAATATTGCTATCAGTATCAAACATTTTGCGTTTTGTCAAGAACTGTCAAAATATTTTGTATGTATTGAACATTTCTATAGCACACGGTGACATTGTTAAATAAATTGAACTGCTATTGATTTTAGAGCAATAATATATTTATTTACAATTATCTAGTTTAATAATTTTAACGATTGCACGAAAAATAGTGTGTATGCCATGGCCGCGAAACTTTTTAACGACCTCAAGATTATCTTGCCTCGGCCGCAAGCGGCCTCGGCGATAACTATTCTTTCGGTACGTTAAAAAGGTATTTCGCGGCCTAAGCATACACATAACTATTAGTGTTGCTAGAAATATGAAAAGACGAAAATTATTATCATTACACAGAAACACTTCAAGGAACAGCTAAACTATTTTGTTGAGGTTTGTATCTATACTCTTTATTAAAATAAAAATGTTTTATTGTAATTTAATTATTCAATTATCTACCATTGTAGTAACGATGTTTTTTTCTTTTTTTTTAGATACCAGATGATTTTGAAAACTGTTCATTTTTAAATGATGGATAAACCTTTACAACCTTTACATATAAGAAGAGAGCAGTACCACACCAAGAGCCAGCTCACTGATTCTACCAAAAAAAGAAAACCAGAAAACAAAAAAAATGTTGACTGGAAAATAACCTTCTACTAGAGGCATTTTTCATCTCTATTTAATAGACATACACCGGATCTTCAAGATGCAGCAGCAATTTCTGACATTGCCCCCTTCGGTTAATTTAAAATCAGGCTACTATAAGTTCGAAGGTGTATATCCTAAAACCCCTTCTGCAAGAACCTGCCTCGGAATCTCCTGAAAGTTATAAAGATAGTGATGTTTTGTCTGAATCGGAAGAAACATCTTTAATATCTGATTCAGAGGGGCTTAATAATGAGCAGGATCTTCAAAACCAATGAACTCTCAAAATTTAAAATAAACCGAAGGTATATTTAGGATTGTCCAACAGTGTTTTTAAAATCCTCAATATTTATTAGAAGAAAAGTGTAGCTTACATAAACCTTTTACATTTCTGTATGAATTAGTGGTATTTTTAACTTAAAAGAACTCATTTTGTAAGACAATACCAAATAATTTAATAAACTTTTTTTTTTTTGATTAATTTATCACATTTCAGAAATTATAATAATCGTATATAAACAAAAATGTAAAATCTGTGAAAATTTTATTTATTAACCTATTATTAAAAAATAAAAATAACTGAATAAGATAAACGTAGTAAAAACACTTTATTTACAAATAATAAAAAATATATACACAAGCCCTAACAATCATGGAGATGTTAAAGTAAAATGTCCTCTAAAGATTCATTATCAAATTCAACTTGTTATCGACTTCATTATTTACTTCAAATGTGGAAGAAACCATGCAAAATACTTTATGTTCATGTGTAATTATTCCGTTTACTGGGCAAATATCTCCTTTTCTCAAATTATTCATGGGAAATCGCATTATCTCCTTATACTTGCTTGGCAGATTAAAAAATAATAAAATATTTAATAATGTGATGATTTTTGTAGTATTTTCAAGAGTACATTTTTATGGATTCCTATTTTTTTTCTATTTTTATTACTTTTCTATGCTCCAAATTATTTCATAAAATATTATCATAGACTTATGTATGTAAATACTAGACATATGTATAATAGTAGGTAATCCTCGACCAAATAAAAATAGTATTACAGTAAATACATGTGCACTACCCTTCTAAATAGTTTTAAATGTTATTTAGTTTTAATTTTTGAGGTAGGCAAATTGTATGAACTCGTTTTATACAATAACAAATTTGCTATTTCTCAGGTAATACTTTTACTTCTAATTATAGAAAAACTGTTAGTGTTCGACAACCCTAATGACCTGAGATAAATATGTTTTTACTATAAGGTGTATTGCTCCATATAAACTGTAACTACTATTAAAACAAATTATAAATAAAGTCTTACGTACCTTTCTGTCTTTTATAAACTGAGTATTGTTAAAAAATACAGTAATCATCTCGGTAATGATATCTTGGTTTACAATGGGTAAAACACTCGAATCAACTTTTATAAATTCAGCTGACAAACTCATATTAATAATAAAATTAAACCAATTAGCAAAGACAGAAGAAATAAATTTAGAATTGAGAAAAAAGTATACAAAACAAAAATCGAATGTTAGGTTAGGTGGTCTAGGTGGTGTCAATTTTAAGTTACTTAGATGTGCGTTCACTTCGATATTCTGTAGGCGAGTTCGGATAGTCAGGGGCTGGAGCGGGACAAATTTTAGGGTGCTTTTAAATGACATTTAAGCGTGTTAAACTGTCACTAATCGGACTAAACCGAACGCTAAAAGGGTCGTTTGGAGTTAAAAGTGTTAAAGGAGTTAAAGGAACTTGGCAGACCAAACGCAATGTGTGTGTCGGTTTGTCCGTTGGTTTGGTTCTGTATAACTGTAAACTTCGACACAAGCTGATTGGTCTATTCCCGATGACGTTCACATTTCAAATTTGAAATTTGAATTGGTTTTAAATTAAATGTTTTTGGCTTTTTTAACAAACTGATTATGTAGAATAACTTGTATAGCGACTAACTGTTACAATATAATTTATAAAACAGCATATCTCACATGTGAACATGGCCCATTGTGACCCAATCACTGGTTTTGACTAGCGTAACCCTTCTCGAGGTTCCATTAGAGATGTAAATCGAAATATATGTTTATTTCTTGATGAAAAGTCCTAATAAGGACGAAAATCCAAAAATAAGGATATTTTTAGGAAGCAAAATCAATAGAGTGTTAAAAATTATTTTCTATCCCTGCCATTTTCTTTTGAATATAATGTAATCGCTCGTCGCTTGTGTGCCAGGGACAGTGTTTCTCTTTTCTTTTTTATTTTACATAAATATTAGTCGGCTATTAGAACAAATAGCGCCTTTTGAAATAGAGAGTATCAAAATAGTATCTGAACGTAATAGCTCTTATTAAAAGAGCGTCTGAACGGAACAGCGCTTTTTAAAATAGTGTCAATCAAAATAAAGCCAGACTAAAACAGCGCATTTTTGAAATGGCGTATATTAAACCAGCGTGTTTCGAAATAACGGTCCAGCGAACTAGGGCCAGAAAGGTTTTAACTAATTTACCTAACCTGAGCGACCTAGAGCCATCGCGGGTTGATTCGGAATTTTTTTACACAAAATGAGAAAAATAAAAAAAATCACAACTAATTTACCTAACCTGTGTGGCCGGGAGCCATTTAAATGTTACCGATCGCACACGTACATGTTAGGTGAATTAGTTAAGATTTTTATGTAAAAAAAATTCGTTACGCATTGTTTTGAGAAAGTGCTATTTTGTTAGGCGCCATTTTGATTAGCGTTTCAAATATTAGCGTTATTTCGTGACATCTTACTAATTACAATGAATATCCCTCAATTTTATTCCAGAAAATGAAACTGAAAGAAATAGAATGCCTTTTCGAAAGCGAAAATCAAAGAGAAGTATCTGAAGATATTAATCAAAAATTGTTAGACGTAACAGATTTTATTTGGGCCGCAGGAAAAAAGTATATTGACATTATCAGTTCTTACAGTGTAGAATATAATACAATACTGGACGTTGAGAGAAGAAAATTGTGTTTACAGGAAATAGTAAGCAATTTTGTCAAAGGACCCCGCAATAATCTTATGGAAATTGGGTTTCTGTCAAATTGTCTGAATTTTTGATATATTGTAGATTTTATCATCCTGAACAAAAGTCTCCATAGGCACAAAGTGCCAAAATGAATATTTTGGCAGTTACGGAGCTGCCAAAGCTCCCCTGACCCGTTGCAAAACTATTCATTTTCAATACTATTTACAGATGTCAAAAGCATATTTTAATTATTCTTATATATAGGGTAATATTTTTGAGGTCACTAGATTCAACCCTCATGTCAGATTAGACAAATTGACCGATGACAGCTATCAATTCACAGTCAACGAGGAATATAAAAGTAAATATCCTCTTTTCACATTGAGAGTTTCGGTTTTTGAGGTCGCTGAATTCAATTCTCATGTCAGATTTGACAAATTGATAGTTGACAGCTGTCAATTCACTGTCAACGAAGAATAGAGAACTATATATTCTCTGTTGACATTGAGAGTTTGGGTTCTTGAAGTCGCTGAATTCAATTCTCATGCCAGATTGGAAAAATTGACAGTTGACAGCTGTCAATTCACTGTCAAAGTAGAATAAAGAAGAAAATATTATCTTTTGTTATTAAGAGTTTGTCAACTACCATTTTCTCAAATTCTAAAAAGAATTGAATTTAGCGAGTTGGCCAACATAATCTCAATGTGAAAACAGGATATTTACTTGTATATTCCTCGTTGACCGTGAATTGACAGCTGTCAACGGTTAATATGTCCAATCTGACATGAGAATTGAATTCAGCAACCTTAAAAACCCAAACTCTCAATATGAAAAGAGGATATTTACTTTTATATTCTTCGTTGACAGTCAATTAACAGCTGTCAACTGTCAATTTGTCCAATCGGAGATGAGAACTGAATTCAGCGACCTCAAATACCCAAATTCTCAATGTGAAAAGAGGATATTTACTTTTATACTCCTCGTTGGGAGTGAATTGACAGCTGTCAACGGTCAATTTGTCCAATCTGACATTAGGGTTGAATCCAGTGACCTCAAAAACATTACCCTATATATTAGAATAATTAAAATATGCTTTTGACATCTGTAAATAGTATTGAAAATAAATAGTTTTGCAACGGGTCAGGGGAGCTTTGGCAGCTCCGTAGCTGCCAAAATATTCATTTTGCTACTTTGTGCCCATGGAGACTTTTGTTCAGGATGACAAAATCTACAACCATTTAAAAATTCAGACAATTTGACAGGAACCCAATTTCCATAAGATTATTGCGGGGTCCTTTTATCCAAATACGTATACTATTTATTTTGCAGAATGATATAATTAGAAAAACGAAAAATTTTGATGGAAAATATTCAAATAAAAAAACTTTCAGAAAACTTCAGAAGATATATAACAGAATAGAGGTCTTAATAGATGATGTAAGTTATACTGATTTGTCTAATAATATGGACCATCAAACCTATTTTGATTTTGAAATATAATGTTCGATTTAGTTCTAAGAGCACTTCTTTATTTCAAGATTCAAGACTGTTGGCCAGATATTATTCTATGGTTGGTGCATGGAAATAAAAACGTAGCATTTTTTAAAATACCTGCCAGGGATCTAATATTTTCTCAAATAGACGAGGAACGGGGTCAGTTTTGTGGAATAAAACGGACCATTTGTTTTTACGTACGTAATATCAAAACACAAACCGACTAAATCACATACGATTTCTTAACGTGCTTGTAAGTTACAGATAGATAATCTTTAATGTATCTGAAGAGTGAAAGATTATTCATTTTTCTCAAATGCGGTTGTATATTCAATACAAGTTACAGTTCATCAAATTTCTAGAGGCTTTCGACGGCTAGACAGAGAAAGCATTACTGACAGGCATCCCGTCGGATTTACGCAATGAAAGTACACTCTGCGCATCAAGTATTTCACTATTTCATTCAGACGTAAATGTCAGATGTAAATTTCGCTAAAACATTTCTTTTATTTTCGTTTGTGTTTTTTGCTCATTACAGTTTAATAGAACCTAAGTATGGAGTTTAATAGCAAATTAAGAGGCCGCGTGATTAACAGTCAATCTCGCGAAATAATAGTCAATGTTATAGAGTTTATGAGAAGAGAAGGAAACTTTAATTCACCTTCAATACCATTTAAAAATGTAAATGATCGTGTTGCTGCAGCCACAGGAGTATCTAAAAACACTGTCGTCCGCATTTCTGGAGAGAAAAAAAGAATCGATAACCGTGAGATATCGGAATTTTCATCACCAAGAAAAACCATTAAAAAACCAAAAACAGTTAATAATATAGATGAAGCTGCACAAGAATCAAATTTTATTTTTTTATTATTAGATAGCTATTTTTGTTTCTGAGTTGTGTTCATTTACAGGCTCAATTTTTTTCCGTTTCTCCTTTTTGATTTTATATGGGGTTTCAAGTTGTTTTTGACTTATTTCGACGTAAATCACAACAACACACTTTTTTAATAAAGCAAACAAGTGTTAAGAGGTATATGTACGTGTAAACTATAATTACAAAAAATTGATATGAAACCCATGAAACCACCAACAAAAATGTAAAACTAGCTTCCGTACTAGAACATGGTGTCATTCGTCGAGATAATTTATCGTTTTGTTTAATAGATCAAGAAATATTCCCCTGTTATTTTTTATAAAATTATAAGAGAAATAAATTTTTTTCTAAATAGTATAGTTTATTATTTTGTAGAAAAACAAAATTTCGAAAATTTTAGTAATGTTTCAGAAACAACCGTTATTAATAATAGATACCATTTTCCTTAATAAGGTAGAAATAAAATATAAACTATTTCCACGATTTACAAAGGCCTACAAAAAAATTATAGGTATTTTCCGCTATCCTATAAAATTTATATTTTCTGACTCAATTTTAAAAGGTTGAAGGAATTCCAAAACACCTTTTATGGCATAATAATTATTTTCAATTCTACATACTATCTTTAGCTGCTTTTAAAAACGTTCTAAGAAAGTCCAATCAGACCAATTTAATCCCTAAACTATTCCACATTTTTTAAAATTTAATTACCTAAAAATATTAAAAATTATTTAAAATAACTTGTTTAGCAGACTGTACAATAGCTATCTTAGTCACACGTAGCGCGTTCTCTGTCTGGGCGTCGAACACCTCTAGAAATTTGATGAACTGTAAACTATTCAAAATCGATACCACAATATAATAAATCTTAAAATACCATACCACGGAGGGCAATTAGTTTTGCCCTATGGGGCTATCAATTGTTTTTGTATTACAAGCCTCTTGATGATCATTTCGAATTTTTTGAAAACAGTTTAGTAAATACTTCATTTTTTCACTAAATGGATATAATAAAATGTTCTGTGTTTATAAGTTAGTGAAAGAAGGGAATACTTAGTGAAATTTCGGTTTATTTTCTTGGTAAAAGTTTAACCCGTTGAAGGACAGTACCCTTATTTCAAATCCAATAGGTTTTAAAGTTTAAACCATTACAAAGTTTATTGCACACCATATAGGTTAGTGTTAAATGATATTTTTTTATATTTAACTTATACAAAATTAGTATTTACTGCAAATAATCTTTTTCGCACAAAAATCGAGGAGTTATGATTTTATCTTTAATAAGATACGTCACTGGTATCAACAGATTTTTAGTTGCATGTAACAGCAGCATTGCCAGACGAGATTACAGTCTGTCTTTTTTCAATCCGCATAAAATATCTTCTTTCCTTTTTTCAATGTTTGGGACCAAACAAATGATTCGTTATGAATGAAATGCTTCATTTGTTGTTTCTTTTATCTAAGATCCCTTTCAAATTAGGAGGTATATTGATTAGACATTTCATAAGGTCATCTCTGAATTGAATAAATCGGTAAATACTAGTAGTATCGTTTTTGCAATATTTTCAATAAAATTAGAACGCACCCTATGTGGCTACGTCTAGTAAATTCAACATGATTCTCTTATACCACCTAATTGTTTTACGTGAAATACAATAGGTTGCTGTCATTTGGTCACACCTGTCAATACCAGCCGTGTGATCATTATAACTTGATACCTCTTCTGGCTTTCTTCTTTCCCAAACCTATTTCTGACTGTGACCATATGTGGATGAGTTTTTTGTAGTAATAATCAAAACATCCTTTTTACTTACATAAACTTGATTTTTACGAAGCCACTAATTCGCGCCTTTTTCAAGTTTTTTTACTTCCAGTAACTTTGGATTACCTCTCCTGTTGGTTCTAAAGGTATGTTTTACAATTTAATAGTTTTTCGGCAAGCGTAATATAATAATTATACATATATAGTTCGTTACCTTAATTCAGATAAGGCCCTAACAATATAACTACTAAGGCTTCCAGAACTCCTAAACACAAAATTAAACTTTGCAACAAAAGTAAAGTACCTAGGTCTTACCTTTGACAGCAAATTAACATGGAACTCGCATTTAGAAAACACAGTTAAAAGAGCATACATTGCTTATGAATAATGCCGCCGAACCGTGGGGTGCACCTGGGGTTTCTCCCCCAGAGTCATCGCATGGACTTATACGGCTATCATAAGACCTATGCTAACATACGGTGTAGTTGTCTGGGTACCGAAAACCCAAAAATTAACAGCTATCCGCAAACTAGAACAGCATGTCTCAACATAACAGGATCCATGAAAACAACACACACTAGAGCGATGGAAGTCATTCTTAGTCTCACTCCCCTTGATATTTACATCAAGGAGGTTGCTTTGACGACAATCACACGCCTCCGCACGGTTCGAATAGAATCAGGTGTATGATCTGGTTAGGTGAGACGTCACTTTGGGCAGGAGTCGCTCGATACACTCCCACTACTTCAAGCGAACCTATATCTTCCATAAACCGTATAAAGTTATAATAAAACAAATAGAAGAGCCAAAAGTGGCAGGTACAATTAATATCTACACCGACGGTTCTAAAACAAAACAAGGCTTAGGATGTGGAATATACTCCAGATTCTCAAACCTCAACATAAAATGGGCTGTGAGCAATAGTGCCGGTGTAGTTTAAACAGAGCTAACGGGAATTCCCATAGCAGCAAAAGAAATGAACAGAAATAATATCGCTGGAAGGAACATGCTCATCTATACAGATAGCATACAAACACTACTCACCCTGAACAGACCACGAATTTATTCAGGGTTAGTACTAGAATGTCACGAAGCTTTGGCCGAAGTATTCATCAACAATATGGTCTTAAGAGGGATCAAAGGTCACGTCACATCGAAAGGTAACCGTCTTGCTAATTCACTAGCCAAGAAAGCAGCCAACCAAATATTGTTTAAACCTAGCCCTTTTATTGGCCTGACAAAATCGGTAGTGACAGACCTAATTAAAGAACATTTTCTTGTGAAATTCAAGGATAGATGTGAAATTCAAGGATAGATGGGATGAAACAAGAAACTGCAGAGTTGCCAGGGAGCTCTTAAGTTATCCTGACAACACTGCAGCAAACAAATACTTGCCTATGACTAGACAGAATCTGCGCTTAGTCACAGGCATTCTGACTGGTCATTGCCAAGTACGGAAGCATCTCCATATCATGGGGCTGCCGGAATCCGCACTCTACAGACGATTTAAACAAGAAGATGAGACCATCGAAGAATTGTGTTCGGCGAGTATCTGCTAATACCAGCCGATATAAGAGAAGCACCTCTTGGCGACGTTGTCAACTACATTAAATCTGTATGCTGGCTCACGAGCTAGGAGGTGCATATCATCTTAGAAGGATGCACAATTTGCCTAATAAGGCCTAAGTGCCGTGGGTGTAACCCACCCTCCACACGTTACAGATATAGAAGGCTTCGGTTTTTTTGTTATCTGCGCTGGCATTATCGTCAGCATTACTGTACATCTCCATATTTAGAAAAAACTCATCTGATGTGGCCAATTCGAAAAGTTTTGTGTCATATTGAACTTTTTTATTTTTTTATGTACACTCTAAAGCCCAGCCTGGCACGAAAATGAAGCAAATACTGATTTATTGAAAGTTTTTTCTTATCTATCAGAGCTTGCTCTTTCCCATTATTTTTCGCATTTTGTGTTGACATAATATATGGAAATATTGGGTTGTGATAAAGTACATCGAAGTAGGAGAAATAACGTCGCATATTCGTAGTTAGAATTTGGCTCTAAAGTAAGCATAATCCCAAAAATACTCTCATTTTCTTAGTTGTTATGAGCAGAAAACTTGCATATTGAGAGTTTTTTGTGTTTGGCATATTTATTTTAGTCAGAAAGTTTCCATTTCCGTTTGAAGAGTCAACTATGTATTGTATTATTTGAAGCGTAAACAGTTTATCAAAAATATCAGTTGGCGTAGCGTCAGGACCCACATTTATTTTAAGTTTAACATTGGCTTCATCAAATGAAAAGTTGGAAATCGGGTAAGTACTTTCCACCCATACAGATTCAAAATCTTTATTATCATTTATCGCCTGTGAATTACTAGTTTGACTTTATTCTGCAGACTCGTTCGATGAACCATGTATTTCATCTTCAGCAGTGTCTTCTAACTCTGATTGGGAAAATCCGCCTGGTTCATAATTTTTATTAGAGCCAGATTCACCGTCATTGTCGTTGTAAGGAACTTGTTTACTCTCAGACGAGAGCTCATCATATATATCTGCTTCAACCGTTTTTGTTACTGCTCATAGTCGCCCATCTACAACAAAATACATTGAAAGCGTACATCATTTTCCCGCAACCTATTATACACAGCATCAAGACTTACATCACAAAGCACATAGAGGTTCCACGTGAATGACCAAGGTCAAAACCGACAACTGACATTTTTCATGCTATTTGCTCCAAACTCTAGATGGAGCTACTGGTGAAATTATGATTTCTTACTCCATTTTTAAGCCTTATGGGAGAAAAACTTAACCAAAGACTCCAAAGATGTGACGTGTATTTATTTATGTTCTTGGTTAGTTTCATTTTTCCGTCCGATTTTAGTGATTTTTTGTTGGCTTTGGCTTTTGGTTTCTGTTTATAGTTTCGTCTTAGTTATTTGCAAAATTGTGATGTTTCGCTTTTTTATTTCCTACTGTGTTTTGCAATAATTTTGGTGCTACGTTGAAAACTTCGAGAAAAACTTCATCGATTCACCATATATTCACCATGCATCTGCATCATAAAAAGACAAACGGGGACAACAACTAATTGATAATCAATTTATCACTGGACTAGATTCCGAAATCATTTTTCACATAAGAGAGTAATACCACCATCTGTATTTGGAAGGAAAATACCTATTTATCATTGAATGAATAGTTAAAAGGATTTACCTTTTAATACAATACCTATATTACATTTGTCCTCAGTTAAAAGACATTTATAAAATATATAACTTTAGTGTTAATAAAATGTAATATCCTAGTCTCTACTTCACATTTAAATTATTGATAGGTATTTTAAAGATTTGAGATTATATATCTATTTGCTCCAAGTAAGTATTCGTTAAATATGTATTATTATTGGTATTTACTTTTATCTAATATTATTTAAGTTATTAATAAACATATTTTAAGAATGTTCTATTTTATTATTTATAGATATATCTTTATTTAATAAAAATATGCAGAACCAACTCTCCACATTAGACCCCTTATAACAAATTAATTCTTCAAATTTGGTATAATCGACCTAAATTATTTTGTAAAACAAAAGTTTCGAACTTACTAGTTCCATACTTTATTTTATAAAATAATTTATGTGGAAATCATTTAAAATTTAATTAAAAACTACTACCTACTCCTAAAAATTACAATTTGAATTTACCGCCATCTGTCAATTGTCATTTTAGTTCCAGCTCCAAACACAAGGTGGCGCTAATTTGGTTTAAAAGTTTAACATTGGCGTGGGGTCTCTAGAAGATACATGCTTTGTGACTTACATTGTTTTACGGAAAACAATAAAACACTTAAAACACGTGGTGGAACATACACAATTTAAAAATAATTGGAAGTACGACGCCGTCCAGGGTTGTGACTACAGAATATATGGAAGCGCTAAAAAGCCTTTTGGAAAGACACTACAAACATTTTATTTACTTGGTTTGTAGCAGTATCGATATAAGTATATTGTTTTGTACATAAAAATCGACACCGACGCCTTACAGCCTACTGTCACGTAATAAGGGATTTAAAAAACGGCATGACACGTCACTGTCCTTCAACATGTTAAACTTTTCGACTACTAACGAAAGATAATTTTTAATTTCTAGGATCATATAAGAGACAAAAGACATCTTGCAGCTAAAATGGATGTCAAGATGTACCTAACTTTAGATCGACAAAAATTTGCATGTCGTATGGAAATGCCACCAGAGGTTAATTGTGACAGTATTGAATCAGTACCCAGATGTCTAGCAACCAAAGCTAAAAAGGTACAATAGATTATGTTTTAATACAAAAAATAACACATCACTAGATCATTACGGTGGCTTATATACCCACATGTGCAGTAGTGACCATAGTTCACGTGAAGGTGGGTATCGTTTTTATTATTGGTCCGATTATAATATATTATTTTTTTTTGTAGAATCACTACTGTTTTATGGTATTTTAGGATGGGGAAAAAATAAATAATAATTTTATAAATAATGCCAATGTCCTTCAAAAGTGGATTTTGAAAATCATGTTGTTAAAAAATATTTCCATCACGTCAAATCAGTAGCACAAATAAAAGACTTACAAATATTGTAATTTAAAAAAAGATTGCACTTTATATAACATCAAAACAAAATTAAGCTCATACTACAAGAACATCAGTTTAAATCTGTAGGCTGGCTTACGAGCTAGGATGAGCATATCTACTTAGGAGGATGCACAATGGACCCAGTGAGGCCTAAGTACCCACCCTCCACACTTACAAATACAAAGACCTGTATAATAAAAGGCCAACGGACAATATTTATCAATTTAATTAAACAACGCAATTGATTGGATCCTGAAGATTCTTCTCAATATTACCAAATTATATAAAAGATATAAGACAATACATTTTTATAGGTGGGAGCGTAGAAGATAAAAAAAGCATCTAAATTGTTTTTTATGAATATAAAGTATAAAAAGTTGGTAGGGTACGTAGATTGTGACAACCGAATTTGGAAACCGCTGCCTGGACTTTGAGGGATAAGGGGACAAGTCATCCTCCCTACTATTTCTTGTGTCACTCCATTATATGTATCTGTTCTGCCTTGGAAAGAAATAGTTCAAGATATTTGGCTTTAACTGACTGGGACCTGCCGATTTTTTTTGTGGTAAATCCTTAATATACATCCTGCAAGCTGCATGCTGGCTAGTGTGAAACTCTCATTCCGAACCACGTGATCATTACTTTGAGGTTGAGGCATTTTGGACCATAATGTAGGCCCTCTGCCTTCACAGGTCTTTTATCCCTACCTGCCGTTATAGTTCATCTGCCTCTTTCGTCAACTAACTCAACCATGGTCTTCATCAAAGGTGTGGCTTAAACGGTTTAAACTCTATGAGTCACAATAGCATCTAAGTAGCAGTGGAAGGCGATGTGATCATCCACTCGCCTAGAACCAAACCAAATGTATTTCATCTCATATATAAAAACCAAAATACTAGTACCTACCTTCAACTCGAAACAGAGCGATTTGTTCTAATCCTGATAACTTTTAGCCTTCTAGGTTTATGGTCACTAAAATGCGCATTTATATCATAATTCCAGTAATTCATAATTGCAAAAATGAATAGTAGTGTTTTAAATTCCCACAGCAACAATGATTGTTCCGGTTTGAACGGTGTTTGTTTAATTTAATTGTAATAAAACAAAATATTGCATGAAATTCTACTTCGACTCAGCGGGTAAAAAAAAGAAAATATAAACGTATCATTCACTAAGTCGTTTTCTCTACCGATCTTTTTCTTGGGTTTGTGCTTGCACAAAATCAAAGCCAACACTTTTATGCTTTCGCACGTCTTGCTCTCCGCGAAGAACAGTGTTTCGTTGATGTCTCAGCAAAAGACGAGAGCTGCGGTACGGCTTTATGTAATAAGATATTATGACTTAATAATATTATTGTAATTCCTGGTTAGATATTTATTGATATTATTGCAGTACTATAACATGATTCACTGGCACATATGTACTCTTTTTGTAAAATTTTTAATAACCGTGTTGCATATACATAGTGTCCGGAAAGTCAACGATAATACTGAAAGGGGTGATGGACCAACTCATAAGCTTTCAGAAAAACATAATATGACCTTTTCGAGATATTGCCACTTTAATAAAATTCGTTAAATTCGTCCCTTTACATTAAATTTTCGAGTGTCCCCCCAAAAAAAATGTATAATTCTTAGATTCTGATTTAAATTTTGCAACTGTATATAGCCATTTCATTGAAAAATGTCCAAAAATAATTTATTTTTACTCTCCATCACTCAAGTTTAACACCTCATACTGTACAAAAAAAGATCTACACTAACCTGGCTGGTGAGTTGAAAAGTTTGCTCATTTAATGTACTTTTAAAAACTACCCATTGTTCTAATAAACAGCTTACTGATATTGACTTACAGTGAAGGATATTCCTAATTTACCTTATGAGAACATTCTAAAAATTAAACAAAATTAAATCATGTTAATAAAAAATGTATTTAACTTAAGAAAAATAAAAAAATAAAATATGTTTAAAGTGACCACCAACAACGCGAATGCAGGCGTGGCATCTTTTTAAAAAGGCCCTCTCATCCATCTTGCATTTCTTGCCAAGTTTATCTCTTGGGCTACGTCAGTTATTCGCTGACGTAATTCATCAATATTACTTATTGGTCTTTCATAAACCTTTTCTTTTATGCAACCTCAGTAAAAAAATCTAGGGAGTTTAGGTTTGGAGACCTGGGGGGCCATAAAATTGGACCAAGTCGGCCGATCCATCTGTGGGGGTAGGTTTGATTTAAATACGCATGAACTTGATGTGCATAATGTGCCGAGCAGCCATCATATTGAAACCACATTCTTTGGCGTGCGGCCAAAGGAACATCTTCCAAAAGAAGAGGTAGGTGGGTTTGACAAAAATGTAAATAAGCTTGCTAGTTTAGATTTTCTGGTAATTTGAATGGACATGTCCGTTTAGGATACCAGTCCACAGGTTTACTTTGAAACGGTACTGGGACCTTTCTTCTCGAATGGAGTGGGGATTTTCCAACGCATAAGAATGCAAATTGTGCATGTTTATAAAGCCATTCTTTTTAAATGTACTCTCATCCGACCATAGTACATTGTTTATAAAGTTCGGGTCCTCTCTATTTTTTTGCAACATTCTGCGGCAAAGCCGAGGCAGCAGGGCTTGTACACGTTGCACGTGATATGGGTGATATTGACATCATTACTGTCGATTTGGGTATCCCTGTTCGTTTTTCTATTGTTTGCGCCGAAGTAGTCGGATCGTTTTCAATTTCTTCTAAAACTTGATCATCTTAGTCAACGCAGAGTCTTCCCTCTCTATCTGGAGCGTGAGGAGTCCTGCCCTCCGAATATGCGCGATGAACATTGATAAACACACGATAATCAGGATATCGTGCCAAATTTGCATATCTTTTCCGATAAAGGTTAGCTGCCGCTAGACCATTTCCTCTGCATTCTCCATAAATGAGATGCATGTTTGCGTACTTCTGGGTGGTATGCGGTAGCGGCATATTAAACAATTCAATCACCAACACAAATAGTTCAATCAACACAAAGTTCACAGGAAAGTCAGGTCACTTCATTTGATCTCCAATACAATCAAATCCAAATCAAAAGGCAACACACAAGTCCAGATACTTACAAGTAAAAGTTATTGACAGTATAGTAACAAACTAACAACAAAATTTTTTTCGCATTTGCTATAGCGATAACACTTGTTTCATGGCCTCCTAGTCTAGGCTGTTGATTTTTGTTAAATTTTTGGTAAGAGAAATAAAACTTTTTTTAACATGATTTATTTAATGTTATTAATGTTCTCATATTATCCTTCACTGTAAGTCAATAACAGTAAACTGTTTATTAGAACAATGGGTAGTTTTTAAAAGTACATTAAATGAGCAAACTTTTCAAATCAAATCAGGTTAGTGTAGAAGTTTTTTTGTACAGTATGAGGTGTTAAACTTGAGTAATGGAAAATAAAAATTAAAATAAATTATTTCTCTCTAAAATAAGATTTCTTATTGATAATTTTGAACTTAATATTTTGAACTTTTGGTTCAATATTGGTCTTTGTTCAATGAAATGGTTAATCACAGTTGCAAAACCTAAATCAGAATCTAAGAATTATACATTTTTTTAGGAGTAACACTTAAAAATCTGATCCAAGGGGACGATTTTAACGAATTTTATTAAAGTGGCAATATCTCTAAAACCATCGATTTATTACTAAGGTCATAATATGTTTTTCTGGAAGCTTATGAGTTGGTCCATCACCCCTTTCAGTATTATCGTTGACTTTTTGGACACCCTGTATGTGGCGGAAATTCGTTAATAAAGTGTGTTATTTCGGCCTTCGATACTCCGGTGATAGTGGGCTTGTTACCATAGCCCAAGAGCCTACTGCAAACTTTTACCGTCATCTGATAACGAAATGAAATATACCCCAAAAGCATGGAAACACATTGTACTTTACCAAATGGCACCTGTGCCAATCCCTATCCTGAGCAAAGTAGCTTAAAAAAATTATTTTATATTAAAAAAATCACATAAGGCATGACAGCTCTAATTTCGTTTGCCCTTAAAGTTTTCCAGAAAATAACATTCAAATATATCTTGATATATATCGTTAAAGGGAAATATTTTCTTCCTCTCAACATCGCACAAAAACATCTATCCACGATTAGTAGGTAAATATCATTAAAAATATGAATCAATGTTTGCCGATTTAAAAATTTATTTGTATTCCTATTGTTGTGATTCATTTTTACAGGTTGCCATAGAAACGACAAAAAACTACTATGATTATGGTTTAAAATAATTGTCTAACAAGAGTTTATAAATATTATTGACTATCTCTGCAAATGGTTTATACAATACCAACCTTCTTCTTTTCATACATAAACATGGTTTAAAAGGTAGGTAAAAATATTAATAATTCAGGTTTAAAAGCGAGATTCGCAATGAATTAGGATTGTAATTTTCAGGGAAAACATAATTGTCGCTGTCATGTTTTATTTGATTTTAAGAATATAAAATAATTTTTTTTAACCACTTTGCTCAGGATAGGGATTGGCACAGGTGCAATTTGGTAAAGTACAATGTTGTTACATGCTATTGGAGCATATTTCATTTCGTTATCAGATGACGGTCGAAATTTGCAGTGGGCTCTCATACTACCATAAATCTATGACTTTAGACAGATAACCCCACACCCAAAAGTTTAAAAGATCCAAAGTTACCAAATGCAAGAGCATAGCAGCCAATACAAGTCGCCAAACCGGGACTCTTTCACAGGCAATATAGCAAGTGCTTACAATCCTGCCAAAACTATGGTTACTAACTCTATCCTATCACCTATCGATCTGAAAAACACCTAATTTATCTTAGGTTCTAATTGAAGTTTAATGACCGATTGAAAAATCGGCTGTCGTGAAAAATTATTTAATATAAGTGCACTCGTATATATTTGATTAAAAATAAAATTATATTTACTTTATAGCAATTTGAATTGAGATGTTACATTTTTCAAGGAAAAATCGTTTCTGGATTCGACAAAAGTGGACTGGGAGACCCATTTGTTAGAGTTATTGTACAGAATCAGCTAAAAGAGACACGCGTACGTTAATTTTCTTACAATTACAGGTTTTTTGATAACATTAATAAATTATTTTCATTTTAGGTTATTAATAAATGCCTTAATCCAATTTGGGACCAAACTCTTGTATTTCCAAATATTACGATTGATGAATTTTACGTTCCTTCAGTGCTGATGGAAATATACGATAAAGATGAATTAGTAAGCTAAATTTTTTTCTGCTTAACACACTTCAGACGAATGAGGGAGATTAGTGCATATCATTGGAGTGACATTTTTTAGATGATGCTGTAAACATGCGTTAAAGGTTTAAACCGAGACGCGGTCGTATCGTGTATACCAAATTAATTATCTAAGCATGGCTGCTTCGAATCCGATTCGGAGCACAAAGTTTTTGTATTTTCCGTTTGTTTTCTTCTTGGTGTTTCCATTAAATTTCATAATTTCGTAAGAAGAATTTGGATATTTTTCTAACTTTTCAAAAATATTGATTTTATTTTGAGTAAAAAATACTCAAATAAAAGGATCGGACAAAAATTCCAAAAATCGGTCGGTTATTGATACAAAAACAAAATATATATTTTTTAAAACTCCCAAATCATTTTTTTTTTTTTCTAAATTAGCCTATTTTTTAATGTCAGAATGCATTTAATCCTACAAGATTCACCATCATTTTTGTAATAACCTAATTTAATACCAATTTTAGTACTATATTGCACAAGTATTCAATATTATTTATTAACATAATTAACACACTTCAGTTTTGTGACTTATAGCACTAATTTTACTTTGTTACCATCAGTTGCATAGTCTCAAAAGGTATGCATTTTTAAGTCTACGAACTACATCGTAATTAATTAAAAATTGTAATACTTTAATGTCGGTGTACAGTTCATCAAATTTCTAGAGGTGTTCGACGCCTAGACAGAGAACGCGCTACGTGTGACTAAGATAGCTATTGTACAGTCTGCTAAACAAGTTATTTTAAATAGTTTTTAATATTTTTAGGTAACTAAATTTTAAAAGTGTGGAATAGTTTAGGGATTAAATTGGTCTGATTGGACTTTCTTAGAACGTTTTTAAAAGCAGCTAAAGATAGTAAGTAGAATTGAAAATAATTATTATGCCATAAAAGGTGTTTTGTAATTCCTTCAACCTTTTGAAATTGAGTCAGAAAATATAAATTTTATAGGATAGCGGAAAATACCTATAATTTTTTTGTAGGCCTTTGTAAATCGTGGAAATAGTTTATATTTTATTTCTACCTTATTAAGGAAAATGGTACCTATTATTAATAACGGTTGTTTCTGAAACATTACTAAAATTTTCGAAATTTTGTTTTTCTACAAAATAATAAACTATACTACATATTTAGAAAAAAAATTATTTCTCTTATAATTTTATAAAAAATAACAGGGGAATATTTACATTTCTTGATCTATTAAACAAAACGATAAATTATCTCGACGAATGACACCATGTTCTAGTACGGAAGCTAGCTTTACATTTTTGTTGGTGGTTTCATGGGTTTCATATCAATTTTTTGTAATTGTAGTTTACACGTACATATACCTCTTAACACTTGTTTGCTTTATTAAAAAAGTGTGTTGTTGTGATTTACGTCGAAATAAGTCAAAAACAACTTGAAACCCCATATAAAATCAAAAAGGAGAAAAGGAAAAAAATTGAGCCTGTAAATGAACACAACTCAGAAACAAAAATAGCTATCTAATAATAAAAAATAAAATTTGATCTTCATCTATATCATTAACTGTTTTTGGTTTTTTAATGGTTTTTCTTGGTGATGAAAATTCCGATATCTCACGGTTATCGATTCTTTTTTTCTCTCCAGAAATGCGGACGACAGTGTTTTTAGATACTCCTGTGGCTGCAGCAATACGATCATTTACATTTTTAAATGGTATTGAAGGTGAATTAAAGTTTCCTTCTCTTCTCATAAACTCTATAACATTGGCTATTATTTCGCGAGATTGACTGTTAATCACGCGGCCTCTTAATTTGCCATTAAACTCCATACTTAGGTTCTATTAAACTGTAATGAGCAAAAAACACAAACGAAAATAAAAGAAATGTTTTAGCGAAATTTACATCTGACATTTACGTCTGAATGAAATAGTGAAATACTTGATGCGCAGAGTGTACTTTCATTGCGTAAATCCGTCGGGATGCCTGTCAGTAGTGCTTTCTCTGTCTAGCCGTCGAAAGCCTCTAGAAATTTGATGAACTGTATTTGTGGAGCCTTATTTCTCTTGGCAATTTCATTAATTTCTTCTGGAATTAATTGAATTTGGAGTTCTTTGTTTATGCTTTTATTTCACAGATTTCTAGTAGCGTTTACTACGTTCCTTTGATTTCCGTTTTATACTATTTCTAGGTGATTGTAATTGCTTTTCTTCATACATCTCATATTTCAATTTAAAAATTTAAAATACCCTAATTTTTACTCTGAATACCAGATTCAAATCTGGATCAATAAACTGCTAGTACAACATGGTCTAAGGAAACATTATTCGAAAATTGTGACTATTCTATCACCAATTAAGATTTGAATTAGCAATTCAGACATCTATTGACCTGATTGTCGAGTTGGTAATGCATCATGCGTAGAACAAAAAATGTAGAGGGTTCGAATTCTTTCAGGAACAGAGTTTGCTTAATTATTTATTGGAGAATTGGCATTTTTGCACCACCCCCCAACAGGAGTAAGACAAATGCCAAATGAAATATTGATAGGCAGAATATTTGTTTTTATTATGACTTCTCTCAACATTATTTGTTTAACGACTAAACAAAAACCCAAATCCCGTGGTGAGGAAATGCGTAGTTGCCAAGTTATATGATTTAATTTAACTTTAATTTAGCTGAAATCAGTTATGGGGAGACTGTTGTCATAGAGACGCTTGTCATGGTAACGACTAAACAAAAACCCAAATCATGTGGTGAGAAAACGCGTAGTTGTCAAGTTATAAATGATTTAATTTAGCTGAAATCTTGAGAAACTGTCCATAGGGATACTTATCATGGTAATGACTAAATAAAAACCCAAATTCGGTGTTACGGAATGTGTAGTTGCCAACTTATAGATGATTTAATTTAACTTTAGCTGAAATCAGTTACGAAGAAACTGTTGCCATAGGGACACTTGTTATGATAACAACTAAGTAAATAAAAACTCAAATCTTGAAAGGCATTTTTCATACAAGACACCTACTATCTTGCATGAGAAATGCTTTCCTCCTATTACTTTCATTTTATATTGATTTTATATTGTATTAACTAATTAAAACGGTTGCACTGTAAATTCCACAATATTTTTGAATTGAAGCTCCAATGTATATTCATCTTCCTGTATAAAAGTATTTTTTTAAAAAATCATATCTTAGTCTGGACCTACGTGTATAGGTGCCCCAGCCTGTATGTGTTACAAATGGCTTTGGGGGTTATGATTGATAGCCCGTGTTATTTTTAACAGATGTGATATTTTCTAAACATACAGAAATTGTTTACAAATAACGTGTCTGTTAAAAATCGCATATCGCGCCCATCATAACCCCCTTTATATTTGTTCTAATGTAACTGAGGTAATAATATTTGTAATTGTAATATTATGCTTGTCGATTATCAGAGATAACAGAGATATAACTATTCATTGATAAAATATAATATTCACGATGCTAAGATAAATTCAATAATCAATACGCTCTATTTGTAGGTCTGCGGCGAGGAGACGAAAGGTGGGAAGTAAAAGAGGGGATAAAGAGAAGGATTTTCGCAGATACAACTGTATTTTATCAATGAAAAAATTTGTAAGCGATGTGCGCTTATAATTAACATTACATTACTAGGTTTTGGAATTTATTGAAAATTATTAAATTTCATTTAGTGAAATTACATCTAATTTAGTTAAATTTCATAACTAATGATTCAAACATTTTTGGGTTCAGTTGCAATAAAGTAAGTTAAATTATTTTAGCTTCTTTAATATATGTAAATAATTTTGTAAATAAAATATTAGACCCTCCTGTGTCCGTTAGAATATGTCTTATTCAGGACCCCACGTTATTTGTTAGTAGTTACTGTTGAAATTACATTCAACATGTCCTATCTGCTAAATACTAGGTAGACACTCCCTGTATAAACCTCCGCTTTTAGCAAACAAAAATAATAAAGTACTGAATAGACACTCTCTGTATAAACCTCCGCTTTTAGCAAACAAAAATATTAAAGTACTGAATAGTCACTACCTGTATAAACTTGAAACACGCTTGACTTTCAAATGACCGCTAGACATCTGTGTTTTCGCAAACAAGTTAATATGAACGCGTACGCAATCATGCGATCTGGGACGGCCAATGAGAAAAAAGGCGGTAAAATCGTCGCTGGCTGGCGGGATTGTATCGGAGAAAAAACTTGCACTTTCATTTGTCAGTCGAACAACTCACATCACAAAATCTTGTCAACGCCGGCAGCAAGCCGAAATTTAAGCAAAAGCATTTGTGCGATTTGATTTAAAAAATTATAACATGTAATCAGTTAATAATTTATGTAACTAAGTATTAATATGTAAAATGTGGAATCAGTAAGCCGTGAATATATTAAATTCAAATATAAGGTGATAGTTTCATTTGAATAAAATCAGTGCATCATCCAGAACTTCGAGAGCATCCTCCAGAGGCTACAGGGTGGAGCATAAGGCCTTCACCCCCAGGTAACATATTTCGAACATAGTCATACAGTCCACACATGATCGAAGGCAGTAAGTGTCAAGCCTTAAACCCAGGGTAAGACAGTTACATCTTCTGTTATCTCTGTCGATTACCTTGATATCATGCAATTAGATATATTTAGGATGTTATAGCTCGGAAGACAAGTAATTAAGGTGACTCTTAATGAAAAGAAATATTCTCCTTGAAAAGATCTTTCAATTGATATATAATTTATTCTTATTGGGGGTGGGGTAATTTTCCATTTCTACCTATTGTCCTTTGTTTCCACTTTGGGAGCTTAAAGAGAGTTTTCTTTAAATATCTTAGATAATTTATTTGGGAAAAAGAATTTATATAAAAGAACTTTTTTAGAATTCGGTGGAATTTATCGGTAGAGCGATTATTATTCCCAAGTTGACTATTGGTGATACCGAATCTGATCCATTAAAACTAGAGTGGTACAAAACGTATTACAACGATGAAGTTGCTGGTGAAGTACTAGGACTTTTTGAATATATCGAGGTAATAATGAAATTATAGAAGTATTTAAAGAGTGGCAATTTTAAAAGATAAAAATAATTAAATTGGACATTTTTGGCTTTAATAGAAAACCAATCTAAATCGATATTTTTTCTAGGTATCTGAAAATTCACCACAATTGGAACTTCCAAAAAGTGGAAAACTCTATAGCATTCCCAAAGAAATCAAACCTGAACTAGTCAATCACAAAATCGAAGTATTGTTTTGGGGAATGCGAGATTTAGGAAAAGTTAATTTGATTAGTATTAAAAGACCTAGGATTACGGTTTTTTGCGGAGATAATTTCTTGCATTCTGACACAATTGAAAACGCGCACAAAAACCTTAATTTTGCCAGTCAGACAAAGAGCTTGTCATTGGTAAGAAATTGGACTTAACATTATCTTTCATACATTTTAAACACATATTTGGAAAAAATAAATGACATAAAAACAAAAAATCCTCGCAGAGTTAAATCTCATTGAACTGATAAATTATAAGGTTATGTTTCTCGAAACAAAACAAAATTGTAATTTTCTGTAACTGTTGGATATGATGATGGTCTATTAGTATTACTGCCCACAAAAATCAATAAGAATCATTGTTATTGATTTTGTACGCCTATGGAATGTGACGTTATATCCTCACTTTTACTGCACCCTTCTCTTATTCAGACTCTAGCGTTTATCAGGCTCATAAATTTTAATAAACAGTTGAAAGTAAATGACTTTTGTTTAATTTGTTTCAATAAAATGACAGATGTCAAAGGAAAAGAAATTGAATAGAACTGAATAAAGCAGCTTACATATTAAATTTATGTACCTATGCAAACTTTCGCTCTATTAGATGCAGAAAGGGATCAGTGTTTTTTATATATTAAGTTAACTAAAATACAGTTTTTTTTAGATTTTTCCAGTCCAAAAAGAATACGCGCCCCCATTAAGACTTAAAATGTATGACAGTAGAAGGTTTGGAGTATACACTTATGCCGGTTGTCATATAACTACAATTTCTTCTTTTATAATGACACCAATTACGGTGGAAGAAAGGAAAAGAAGAATGTCCGATATCAACATTTGGTCATCAGAGTCTTACGCGTCTTCTTCTGGTAATTTTTAAAAATAGGATAACGAGTAGTACATTTATGCAATATATAACAACCAGTAATAATACGCTAAATTTTAAAAGTTAAGGGTGGTGTCAATAATATTATTTGATTAAGTAACATTTTGTTAATTTCCTTTCCTTTTCAGCTTTTTAAGGGTAATATCACAAGAGGTGAAATTTTTTTAAAAAAATTTTAATGTTCCTTTGAAAAATAAGGTGTTTTAGTTTCACGAAACCAAATCCTCCTTAATATATTTAGTTATTTTTCAGACACGTATATAAGAATTCTCATAGTTTGCTACAAAAGTATAATACATTTTCTTTACAGTTTCTGTAGAAAAAGTAGAAACCGTTCACATAAATATTCAACCTGAAGAGGCTACTGAAATTGTTAGTGAGGAACCGAAACGTCGAGGAGGTTTCCTGTTTCGTGTATGTACATTCTGCTGCAAACCGTTATCAGAACAAGAAAAAAGATTGAAAAATCCCACTTTGTCAGATACTACTTATGAACCACTTACTGCTGTCGTCGAAGAAGACGTTGAAGACTATGATTGGTGGACGAAGTTCTATGCATCTGTGGAAGTAATTAAAATTTTTTAATTTATATACAAATAAAAATAATTAGGTGCAGTTCCAATAAGACACTCATTAGGTGGGGTTATTGTTAACTTATATGGCAAATTATTGTGGGTCAGTAAGCTAAAAAAAACAGACCATTCTATCATTATTTTTAACAGAAAATAGTTTAAATATGAAAAAGAATAATAAAAATAATAAATATAATAAAAAAAATAAAAATATTAAAAATAATAAAAATAATAAAAATAATAAAAATAATAAAAATAATAAAAATAATAAAAATAATAAAAATAATAAAAATAATAAAAATAAAAAAAAATAAAAATATTAAAAATAATAAAAATAATAAAAATAATAAAAATAATAAAAATAATAAAAATAATAAAAATAATAAAAATAATAAAAATAATAAAAATAATAAAAATAAAAAAAAATAAAAATAATAAAAATAATAAAAATAATAAAAATAATAAAAATAATAAAAATAATAAAAATAATAAAAATAATAAAAATAATAAAAATAATAAAAATAATAAAAATAATAAAAATAATAAAAATAATAAAAATAATAAAAATAATAAAAATAATAAAAATAATAAAAATAATAAAAATAATAAAAATAATAAAAATAATAAAAATAATAAAAATAATAAAAATAATAAAAATAATAAAAATAATAAAAATAATAAAAATAATAAAAATAATAAAAATAATAAAAATAATAAAAATAATAAAAATAAAAATAATAAAAATAATAAAAATAATAAAAATAATAAAAATAATAAAAATAATAAAAATAATAAAAATAATAAAAATAATAAAAATAATAAAAATAATAAAAATAATAAAAATAATAAAAATAATAAAAATAATAAAAATAATAAAAATAATAAAAATAATAAAAATAATAAAAATAATAAAAATAATAAAAATAATAAAAATAATAAAAATAATAAAAATAATAAAAATAATAAAAATAATAAAAATAATAAAAATAATAAAAATAATAAAAATAATAAAAATAATAAAAATAATAAAAATAATAAAAATAATAAAAATAATAAAAATAATAAAAATAATAAAAATAATAAAAATAATAAAAATAATAAAAATAATAAAAATAATAAAAATAATAAAAATAATAAAAATAATAAAAATAATAAAAATAATAAAAATAATAAAAATAATAAAAATAATAAAAATAATAAAAATAATAAAAATAATAAAAATAATAAAAATAATAAAAATAATAAAAATAATAAAAATAATAAAAATAATAAAAATAAATAATAAAAATAATAAAAATAATAAAAATAATAAAAATAATAAAAATAATAAAAATAATAAAAATAATAAAAATAATAAAAATAATAAAAATAATAAAAATAATAAAAATAATAAAAATAATAAAAATAATAAAAATAATAAAAATAATAAAAATAATAAAAATAATAAAAATAATAAAAATAATAAAAATAATAAAAATAATAAAAATAATAAAAATAATAAAAATAATAAAAATAATAAAAATAATAAAAATAATAAAAATAATAAAAATAATAAAAATAATAAAAATAATAAAAATAATAAAAATAATAAAAATAATAAAAATAATAAAAATAATAAAAATAATAAAAATAATAAAAATAATAAAAATAATAAAAATAATAAAAATAATAAAAATAATAAAAATAATAAAAATAATAAAAATAATAAAAATAATAAAAATAATAAAAATAATAAAAATAATAAAAATAATAAAAATAATAAATATAATACAAATAATAAAAATAATAAAAATAATAAAAATAATAAAAATAATAAAAATAATAAAAATAATAAAAATAATAAAAATAATAAAAATAATAAAAATAATAAAAATAATAAAAATAATAAAAATAATAAAAATAATAAAAATAATAAAAATAATAAAAATAATAAAAATAATAAAAATAATAAAAATAATAAAAATAATAAAAATAATAAAAATAATAAAAATAATAAAAATAATAAAAATAATAAAAATAATAAAAATAATAAAAATAATAAAAATAATAAAAATAATAAAAATAATAAAAATAATAAAAATAATAAAAATAATAAAAATAATAAAAATAATAAAAATAATAAAAATAATAAAAATAATAAAAATAAAAATAATAAAAATAATAAAAATAATAAAAATAATAAAAATAATAAAAATAATAAAAATAATAAAAATAATAAAAATAATAAAAATAATAAAAATAATAAAAATAATAAAAATAATAAAAATAATAAAAATAATAAAAATAATAAAAATAATAAAAATAATAAAAATAATAAAAATAATAAAAATAATAAAAATAATAAAAATAATAAAAATAATAAAAATAATAAAAATAATAAAAATAATAAAAATAATAAAAATAATAAAAATAATAAAAATAATAAAAATAATAAAAATAATAAAAATAATAAAAATAATAAAAATAATAAAAATAATAAAAATAATAACAATAATAAAAATAATAAAAATAAATAATAATAATAAAATTACTATACAAGTTGACAACAAACCTCTTTTATCTACCGTTTTATATCACTATTTTCTTTAATAATTTCTTCTTAAAACAAAATCACTAAAATGAAATAACAGTTTAAAAACCAAAACACTATAAAGAACCTTATTTTTCACTAATTTTTAGCTTCATTAAAAAATAGATAATACTAACTTTGTTGTGTTATTATTAAGTGAATTTTAATATATAGTGTTCACATTCACTTTCATCTGATTGAAAAAATAATGTTTACGCATTATACCTACACATTTAAATTGTATTTGTTTTTATTTTTCAGAAGACTCAAAATTCAAATCTGCAACCATTGAAACGAATAAGTACATTAAAGGTATGAAAAAAAGTGACAAACACTATTATTATACTATTATTCTATGGATTACAAGTATTAAAAATTTAAAAAACTCGACTTCAAAAATCGTCCAGATGTCATCACCGCATCTTAACCAAACTTATATTCGACCACCCCTGAGGTACCCCCTTACTAACAAAAAAAGAATCATAGAAATCGGACAAGGTGGTAAAGAATTATCGCTGAACCAGACTAGACTAAGGGCTGATCTGATAATCAATATTAAACTATTAAACCAATAGAACAATTAAGTCCAGATTTATTAATGAAAATATTAAAAGATTCAATAACTAATGGGACAACTAAGTCCATAAGTCCATTTAAAAATTATTAAGCCTTTACTTATTTTAAGTATTCGGATTGTTTTATGTGCGCAATATAGAGCTGCTGCACCGGCTGCCGCAATAAATGAGTGAGACGCCAGCTAAATTGAGTGGGAATGATTTAGTTCAAGTTTGTTTACCTGAGGTGCGAGCACGCGTTTTATGAATTAACCGGCATGTATAACTATGATTCCTGCTTTGCACCGTTGCTACAGTGAAAAATAAATAGGGTACTTTCCCGTAAGTCATTTTTATCTACAATACTAGTTGCAACCAGAAATAGACATTAAACAGATAATAACTGATACTCAGAATACAAATGTACTTCCTTAATGTAATTTTAAAAGCCTTTTGTGCGTTTTAGAGTTTTATGTTAAGTCAGTTCCTAATTATAACCATAAACAAGTCTTTTCCCTAATCTTCTATAATAATTGGGCAACTACGTAGATAACACCGTAAATACTTGCAATTTAATTTTTGTGAAACGAGTGTTGAGTGGCGTCATACACTTTTTACTTACTATTTTATAGTGACCATATTAATTTTAGTTATTTTTTAGGTCTACGAAAATGAATTAGAACAACAACCAGAATTTAAAGGCTTCACAGATATGCTAACATCTTTCGAAATAATTAAAGGAAAGCGATCTGGAGACAGCATCATCGACAAAGTACATATAAGCGGTATTTTTAAAGGATCAGTAAAAATTTATCAATGGCCTCTAGAAGACGATAGGCAATACGTTAGCAATGATGGTTACCCATTAGAAGAAGGCGCTTTTAATAATTATCCTGAAAATATACCTTTAAGATATCTTTTGAGAGTTTACATGATCAGAGGATTAGGACTGAGACCGAAAGATTTGAATGGGACATCCGATCCCTACCTAGTTTTGAAATTAAACGACAAAGTTCTTAATGATAGAGCCCAATATATCCCTCGGAATGTCAATCCAATTTTTGGAAAGTACGGTTTGCCTATTAGAATAAAATTAATAGTATATTACATTACGAGTGTGAAAAGTGACATTTTTCACACGAGCGGGAAATATTGTCGCACAAGGCATAAGCTGAGTGCGACAGTCACGCGAGTGTGAAAAATCATTATCACACAAGTGATGTACAATATTTTTCCTACGACCACAAAATAATTTTATCAAAAAAAATACAAAACTAGAAAATCTGGCTATAAAGGTTAGCTGGTTTTAGATTTGTTTTTTATACGAAATACCGCATTTCAAAATAGCGCTATTGTTTTCACATAAATTGATTAAAAAGAAATCTAACTAATTTACCTAACCTGTGCGGCCCAGAGCCATTTAAAATTCAGCGCTGTTTTGATCAGGTGCTCAATAATAGCGCTATTTTGTTATGCGCTATTTCATGACAGAGCCCAGCATTATAATTACAGTTATATAGTATAAAGTAGTCTAGTTTAGTTAACGTAAAACTAGTTTCATTTTTAACAACTATTTTGTATTGTTTCGATCATTTGCTATTTCGATCTCTTGCTTCTCGATCTATTGATATTTCGATCTCCATAAAACTGTTTTCGATCAAATGTATTCGAACAATTGTCCTGGACCCATGGCGTAACAAGTGTAATAAATTCTATTTGCTTGTCTAAAGCCGAAGAAATTAACGCTCTTTGAAAGTCTTTACGTGTATTATTATTTGCGACTTAAAACTTTTTTCAAGCAACGTTAATAGATGAAGATAAATCCCCATATTACAGTGCCATCTTTTGCTCACTTTTGTAAAGAAATCACCTAATGCCTTTTGAAAGTCGTAAATTGTAAACAATAAATGTTTTTCCTAAAATTAATTTATCCAATTTTATGCCTTTCAAATGTGAATATCTATTGCCGCGTTTGAGAATCCACATCGGATGCATCTGAGATGTAGTAAATCTTTGATCATGTGATTCAGTATACGTAAATGTAATGGGACAGATGTCTCCGATGTGGATAAAAAAACGCTCGAGATGTAAAAAATGCATCCGATGTGGATTCTCAAACGCGGCATATATCGATGTTTTCAGATGTTTCGAGTTAACTGGCACATTTCCCCAGGATTATTTGTTAAAAATATTGGTGTGGGATATGGATGTCGCATCTATGGATGATTTGATTGGAGAAACGGAAATTGACTTGGAGAACAGATTTTATTCGAAACATATGGCTAGTTGTGGAATTGCTGAAACATACGAAGAGTAAGAGAATTATTTTTTTGTCTAATTATTATGCTGGAATAAGTGCAATGTGACAAAAAGAGTCTGTTAATGACCCTCGCTAACTTCCGCAGAATGATATAGGTACTTTCAATTATTAACTTACGAATAAATTAATATGTAATGAAACTCAAAATCAATTTGTCGAATATTAAAAATAAAAAATAGAAATTTACTCTAAAAAATCAGATTTGTGAACAGATTTAGTTTATTTTTTATTAAAGAGATAATATAAATACCTAGATTTACCACAAGTAACTGGAAATGTAGAGATCTTTCAGGAAGAGATAAATTACCAGGGCCGTTATTCCCATTTTGCTTACAACCCTACTTCAAGTACCTAATTGTGGGCGGAGTATAGCATGAGCTTTGTTTTGGTTCACTTTCATAACTGTTCTAGAACTCTCTCAGAACCTCTGTTCGCTCTTTTGGTTTCACCTTAACTAGTTCCGAAGCTGTAAGTTCTGTGTTTTGATTTTTCTTGAGAATAGTTCCATAACCATTCTCGAACAGTAACTTCGGTTCTAGCCCAAAAGAAGAACTGTTTCAGAATTGCGCTTTTTGCAAGTTTTGTTTTTGGGATCCTGGCTTGGTTTTGTGTTGGATTTTTTACAAGGGATTTTCGAATGACGAATGAGAATGTAGCAGTTGATTTTATGTTATAAGTTTTTTTAGGCCCGATTGTACAATGCGAGTTGAACCTCGGTTTAGCATGAACCTGGTTCTTGGCGTTGTACAACACTAGTTCAGAACATAAACTGCGTTCATCTATAGGTTCAACAAAGCGGTCATGTTTCCGCGCTTAAACCAAGTTCAGACCTATTTTTGAATTTAGTTAGTTGGTAACACACTACAAAAAAATATTTTTTGGGTTGGTACCTTATACGTTACCGTACACAAACCGTACACCGTAGGTAGGTAAATAGAAAACAAGATATATACGAATTACTGAATTCCTAATTAATAGAAGTTGTTTCGTAAAAATGGATGAAATGTCTGAAGACGAGGATTTTTTAGAATTAGCAAATATCTTACAACAACCAGAAAGACAACCATAAATATATAGACCAAGGGACAATCAATACTGAATTTGTACAAAGATTTGTGAATTAAATTCACTTTCAATTTTTATCCAGCACTCATTCTTCTTGTGCGTTACATTCACATCTGTTTTTATTTTCTAAAATGTCTTTATATTTTTTCACTAGTTTCACTAGTCCTTCTTCGGCATGCGTGAAGTTTGGCGTTCTTTATATTATCAGTTTGGAAACACAAGGGAAAACTACGTATAACCTCTAAAAATAATAATTTTAGAGTAAAAATGTCAAAAATGACATTTTATATAGCTCATTTATTTTCTAATAAGAGAAACAATGATACACTACGTATTTAGTAAAATTAAAATCTGGCAACCCTGAACAATGAAGTTTATCTAAACCGACATTGAGCGGGGTATGTACAATTCATACCAATTTTTAAAGTAAGTTCAACCATTTACCGAGTTCACCTGAACCTAGGTTTTAGCTTGCTTTGTACAATCGGGCCTTAGGAATAAATTTTTAATTTATGTACGTTTTACAATAATACATGGCCTCTTTTTTACTTAGACCCTGATCCTGTGTTGTTACTATTTTGTTTTAATAATAATTTACGTTTTGAGATCTTATTGTTCTAGCAGTGTTTTGGTATCGAATACAAATTTAACGGTTACAGAACTGTTCAGAACTAAGAACTATTGCGCAATAGTTCTGCGCATGGTTCTGTAAAAATTCTAGAACGTAAACCAAAACAAACCTATGATAAATTAACATTTTTAGAACCGGCTATAACGCATGGAGAGGCCAAAACAGACCTTCAACGATTTTAGCAGGATTGTGCAAGAAATATAATATTCAAGGACCTGTATACAAAGCAACATCAGTTAAAGTGGGAAGCAAAGAGTTTATAGAAAAGGGATTTGCAGGTGACTATTTAATAACACCAATATTCAAATATCTCAAACTTTTATATTCAAGATCCAAATTATTTAGTTAAATTCCAAGACATACTTTTATTAAATTGAGCTTGTAAATGAAAAACATTTTTTCTACACCCACATGGATATTAGCTATTCTATGGCACAGACTACAAAAAGTATGCCATTGCGTTCAACTGAATGAATATATTTCATATACATTCTACCTTGTATGAACACTGCCAAAAAATTAAATCCATCAATCCTAGTTTATACATTGGTCGGCTACTATATTTTTCTAAATTTTAAATAAATGACAATTCTGTCAAACTAATTGTCAGTATATTTTTTTAGTTATTGAGATTAAATATATAGATACATTAAAATGAGTTATTCTTGTATAGAGTAGATAAATAATAGCATTTCTTTTTTTATTTCGTCAATATTTACAAATAAATCGTGAATTTAAAAAAATTATAATATTAATTTAATAAGGGACATTAAAAGTAAAATGTTATATATGGCGATGTTTTTTTTTTAAGTTTATTTTATTATATAAATTTGTGAAAACTTATTTTTAAATTAGTTATTTTATTAAATTCGCAATTTTTATATTATTTTGAAAATGTTTATTGAAAGGAAACGATGGTAATATATTTTTAAATTTAAGTTTTATCATCTTTTTATTGGGACATAGAGCAAGCTCAAGTTGACTGGACCAAAAAATGAAGAGGAATGGACCATAAATGTCTTAGTATAATGTTGCTATGGATAAATATTAAATATTCTATTTTGTTTTTTTTTTTTAATAATTCCACCACATATTTATAAATTTATAAAATTGGCACAGAGGCATAACTTTGGACACGGAATTTTATTCATTATTTTTTTTATAATTTGATACGGGGTGTGTCACATGAACAATTGTTAATGATAAAATTGGATTATACGTTTTTCACGAAATTTTTTAGTAATTTTTATTGGAAAATATAATATTAAAACGATTTTTAAGTAAAGTTGTTTTACCTGTTCAAATTTAATAATTTTAACTGTTTTCCAGAAAAACGCAATTGAACACTTCATATGTTCTTAAATGTGCTTTAAAACGAGAAATATTAGACAAATTTGTAATTCCAAAAAATAAACAAAATAACTGATTAACCTACTATGTGTTAATGTTCAACGTGACTTTCTATCATTAAAAAAAAATATATTATCCTCATTTTTTATTTCTTTCCGAGTTAATTTTGTTAAGAAATTTCATTGCCAAACATTAAGAACTTATATTCCCAGAATTAGGAACTCAGTAGACAGTAATCTGGATTTCTGAAATATTATATTAAACCTCTATCTGAAAAACGTTCAATTCAGTTTGTTTGAAAACGGTTTAAATTATCAAGTTTAAACGGGTATAAAAACTTTACTCGAAAATGAATGAACATCATGTTTTCTGTTCAAAACTTCTTCAAGTTTTGTCTAAAAAAGATATAGCCCAATTTCATCATCAGGAATCGCATGTGTGACGCCCTCTGTAACAAAATGTAAAATAATATTCCTTGTCTAAAGTTATGCTCTTTGTAAATTTTGATAACGATATTGTTAATACGTTCTTAAATTAATATTAAAAATTTAAAAAAATATTTCAGCTTTAACACTCTGTATCTTTTTTCACGGTAACATAAATAACCCTGCGCTTACCCTATATCCCAATAGTTATGACTCACCCTGTATATATACATATTCTAAAGATGTATAAAATACAAATTTAACTCATACTGTGCCATCTATTTACAACATATTCAAACTCTTTCGATCTCAATAAACCCAACCATTCCAAAATTACAGATTACTGTTCCATCTAAATAAAATCGAATTTTTTAGCTTGTGAAGATCGGAACAGGGACATTGAAGTTCTGGCGCTGACCGCGCTACGGCGCTGGAGGGAGATGCCACTTGTAGGGTTCTCTTTGGTGCCTGAACACGTGGAAACGAGATCACTCTTTCATCCAACGAAACCAGGTATCGAACAGGTAGTCAGTCACATAAAAAAGGATTAAAGTCGTTGACGTTCGTATGAAAGTGTAGGTATACTATATTGTGTGACACGACGAAGAATATAAAAGTAAGCACGTGGATAAAATAGATATATATATATATATATATATCTATCCCGGTTTCCTTAACAAGATTTTTACGGAATGTCAAAATAATAATTTTAAATTTCTTTCTTACTATTTTTTACTTCAATAACTGATGGAACAAAAATTTTTGATATAAATTGGAAAATTAATATTTATCTACGCAATATCAACAAAGAATACTTAGCAGAGAATCTATAAGTTATTTTGTGTTTCCTAAAATTTAAATGACATATTGACGTAACTAAAGTCTTGCTTTCTTTATTGTTTAAATGTAGTATGGATGAAACAAGTACTAGATTTTGGCATGTAGTAGTTTAATTACATCATGTTATTATTAGGGTTGCCAACTTTGTTTTTAATTTTTTGGACCAGGGTAATAAAAAAATTAGGACGTACGGTATAAATTTTGGACATTTTTATAATTGCAAAAAAAACATAACAAACTTAAATAAACAATTTGTCAAAAAAAAACGGAATGTTAAAAAACAAGATTCTTTGGGTAAATAGAAACTAATGATTAAACATTTTATTTAAAAAGAACATAAGAGAAAATGAAAAGTTACAGCTACGTAACAGTGTCACTGCGTTTAAAATCATTTTCTTTTATTTTTTGCTGCTACTATTATTTTCTTGTTACCTTTTACATAATTATAAAATTCTTTGCAAGTATAAGAAAAATTAATCTTTATTTGAAGTTCAACCTTGATCTGTTCAATGGACAATCGATTACGCGCGTCAGTTCACGAAGCTGAACACATTGAAAAAAATCGTTTCAGCGTCAGCATTGGATCCAAATATAGAAAATACAAATTGCAAAATGATCGAGAAACTTTTTAACTCAGTATTTTTCAGAAATATTTAAATCCATTTTTCAAGTGTTGTATGATTTTCGTTATAAACCAGGTTTACAGCAGGCTTAATTTGATAGAATTCTTTATAAAGTTCATCCATCTTTATGTTAAGAAGACTAAAATCAGTGACAGCTTGACACACGTCATTATATTTTAAGGGTTCATTCAATGAAAACATTTTTAATTTTGAAAGGAAGTTGTTTACAGTAAAATCAAATTGTTGTTCTATGAAAGAACATTTCTATAAAAATCAATGCACGTTATCTTAATGTCATTTTTAATATTACGTGGAAAAGATTTAAGCAAATTAGCACAATCAAAGCCTAGAAATTCGTCTTCAATTATCTTAACCAATTTATTTCTCAAATTAGTTAACTTATCAAAAACTTCAAAACAAATTAAATTCCTATTTTCCAACTTCTGAATATCAAAAATGATTTTAAAGGTGTGAAAAAATGACAAGTAACATTCTGTAATATTATTGTGATAATTATCTGAATCTTTAGAAAAATAACATTTAAGTTTCATAGGACAATCTTCACCAAGACATACCTATAAAATAGCTTTTTATCGCAGGAAACACTTGTAGCAATCTTTCTATTTTTGTTGTGGTATTTTTTGTATTTCAGAAAAACTGTGTCATTAAGCGAGTTTATATACAACTAACAAAGAAAGAGTAACAACCATTGTAATATTAATTAAAAAAGTACGAATGTTAAACCAAAAATAATAATAAAAATTTCTGTTTAGTTTCGACAACCTCATTCCCAAAACCACGGAAATATCTAGAAAAAGAAGGGTTAAAAATGGAAGTTTAAAAACACAAATTTCACCTTCAAGAAAATATTACATGTTGTTCCCTTCCCCCTTCCCTGTACTAACTACAAATAACAAACTAAAAGGACGACGTGTCAATTTTTTGCAGTCAGATGAGGGACTATAACGGTTTTTTTGTTTTTGTTCTGATAAACGATAAAACAGTTGTTATTTTTCCAGTCCATGTCAACCTTAAATATGCGTGACGAAAATATGTGTAATACATTAGGGTCATTATCAGTTATTTGATTTCCCAAAATTGTGATAATTAACAAGTTTAATTAATTATATCTGAGTGGTATTAAACCAACTATAGAAACGTTCCTAAACAAAACAATTTTCTTGTTGATAACATGTTATTTTTTTTTATTTATACACAAAAAATACCATCGATTCGTGTTGAATTTTTATACCAGGTGTCCATTTATTGCGTATTTTCTCGATATTTAAATTTGTGATATTTGAAACAGACATGCATAAAAAATAAATCACAATATACAGGGTGGTCCTTAAGTAATTGTACATAGAAGTATGATAGATTGCTCACATTAAATTACTACGATTTAAACCAACTTGCTTTAATAAAATGTTGCTAATAAGGAATATACAGGGTGTTAAAGGTTACATTTAAGGATTCCTTTTTTTGCAATAACTTTAACGTTTTTGGATATGTATACATAAAAATTTGGAAATAGAGGTTTTTGGGCACGAAAAACATAATCTGATACCTAGTTCGATGTAATTTGTAGAGGGCGCTACATAGGCTACATTTGTGGCATAAATGTCCCCTAAATAAAATGGATTATTTGAAAATAAACGACAATTCTTTTATTATTTTTTGTAAACACTGATTTATGGATTAATTGGCTTTTTAATTAATCGATTATTTTTGATTTTTCAAAGATAATTAAGTAGTCGATTTTAAAGGAAATTCGACAAAAAAATAAATTGTTTGAAAATAATCGATCGATCGAAAATAATCGATTATTTTCAATGATCGATAATTTATTTCGATAATCACCCACTCCTAGCGACCAAATTACTTTTAATAGGTTTAAATTTTAAAATGTTATCTGGTTTCAGATATATGCATTTCTAGAGTTTTATGTGACTCATCCTCTATATTAATAATTAATATTCCTAAAGAAAGAAGCTGAGGTTACAATGAAAAACAACATTTTCTTATTTTGACTAATTTTTAACATTATGTAATAGCCGTAGAAAAAATATAATGTTCAACTCACAAGGTTTGATTTGCAGTATTTGCCTGCGCCCATGCTTTTTTTATAATACTCGTAGACAATGAGTATCTACCATTTCTTGCTCTATTAACAATATTCTATTTCAACATTTTACTGCAGTCTCTTGTTGAAAAGTCCGTAGTAAATAAACGCTAACGAAATATTCTATAAAAGGTCTTCTCTTTACATAAAATGTCGTGGCATTTGCTTGATATTAAAAAATCACGTTAATTATAAAATCAGTGTTAAAAACTTTAATGGTGAGAGTGCATAAGAAAAAAAAAACAAGATCCTTCATACAATGCTGCCCATTTAAAAGATGCGCTGTCCGGAAGTATTATATCCTATTTTATACTCTTCAAAAACACCTACTGGGAACCCGAAAAATTAGTGAAAGCTATAAAAACCATGGAGAAGTGGGGTTGAGGGCTGAGCAGAAAGGAGGTCATAGAATTAGTGGAAAAGTATGTTAGGAAAAATAACATAAAAACTCCATTTACAGAAGGAATACCTGGTAAAGATTGGTTTCTAGGCTTTAAAGAAAGACACAGACTATCATTAAAGAATCCACAAGGACTAAAGTATGCCAGAAAAAAAAGCCAATGATCCATTTGTTATTGAAAAATATTTTGACCTCTTAAAAAATCCTGGATTGATACGACCTACAGGATAATCTTAGTCAGATTTATAATATTGACAAAACTAGTTTTACCCTCGATCCAAGTAAAACTAAAATTGTTGGTCAGAAAAATGCCCCTGCTTCAAGAATAACTACCGGACCTGGTAGAGAAAGTACAACAGTTCTCATGGGTGGCAACGCAAATGGATACAATCTGCCTTCATTAATTGTTTTTAAAGGAAAAAATATATGGGATACCTGAATGGCTCCTTGCACTTTTTATGCTGCGTCATCAAATGATTGGATGGAAACTGAAATTTTCGTTACCTATTTTAAAAAACTCTCATTCCCAACATAGTGCCTGCCTACTCAAATTATCTCCACACTAGTCATCTATTATAACCCATGGACCTGGCTGTCTTTAAGAGTCTCAAGTCACGGTGGGATTCAAAATTAGCGGAGTACCAAAGAAAACATGTAGGAGTTAAAATATCCAAAAAATATTTTTCTATACTTGTAAGCACCATTTGGAAAGACACCGGTCCAGCTTTACTGATATCAGGCTTTTGTAAAGGAGGAATATACCCAATGAATAGATCTGACATTGACCGTACGAAATATGATCCAGAAGCTCTACGAAGATATGAAGAACGTTTGAGAAATCCCTAACCTGACATTCCAAAACATTGTAATGGGCACAAACAGCTATGAAGCGCCATCGAGAAGCAATCAATCTTGCAGCAGCAGACACCAGAACCGCGACCAGAACCAATGACAGGGTCAAGTAACAGATGTGTATCCTCGCCCAAACGAAAAATAAAGAAGAAAAAGAGTGGCTCCGGAAATTATAACATCCAAAGAAAACATAAAAAAAAGGAAAAGGCTGAGCAAGAAAAAGAAGAAGAAAGAAAAGCGGAAGATGAATTAAAGAAAGTGAAAGATTTAGCAAAAAAGCTAAGAATAAATCAAAAAGGAAACAACAAAAAATACTATTGTATCGAGCTCTTCAGAAGAAGACGAACCGGAAATTTTAAGTGACAGTGAATCAGACGAAGCCACTTTTGAGGCTTATTCAAAACACTTAGAGAAAGAACAGCATTCTCTAAAAAAAGACGAATTAGTATGCAAAGAGTCAGAAAACTATTAAGTTGGAAGCTTGGTTCTGGTCTTATTTAAAGGAAAGGAAAGAACTCTTTTCTATGTTGGTCAAATAATAGCGCTCGTTGAAGAATCGCAACCTACCATTTTTTTTTTTTTAAATCGGACCAATTTTCTCATAAATCAGTTTCTCACTGGCCTGAACAAGTGGTTGCATCAGATATAGAGCTAGTTTCACCTGAACCCATTTTAGGACGAAGAGGAGATTTCATTTTCCCAGTATCCTTTGCTTCATATAAGGTAAAATAAAAAAAATTGCATTGTACATTATGTTTTGCCAAAATACCAGATCAATATACTTTTCGAACAAAACTATTTAAGTTTTATTCCCCATCATTGCCCCACAAAAAGTTTTTAACTTCCTTATAAATCAAGATAATTTTTTTGTTAAAACCAGAATTTTTCATTCTATATTACACTTGCCCCAGATCCATGAGCACATTATGCATATGGCAGATTAGGCCGTAATTACACTTGTTACATTAGCCGGGGCAAGTGTAATCATCGATCATGTTTTTTTACATTTATTTTATAAAAAAAACTGAAGGCAGGTAAAAACTAAATAAATACAGCATTTATTTGAAAATAAAATAAGCTATGTTCTAAAGAAAAAACGAACCTGTTATATCTTTAGGTTATCTTTTTATGAAAGTTTAAAGTGTAACTATCATTTTTTTGATTATACTTACTCCACTACATCCTAGTTATTTTGTCTTAATAACCTGAAATAGTATTTAAAATTTGTAGGTTTTCGTTAGTAGGTCGTAGAAAAAATATACTGTACAACTCAAATACACATACCTTCAAACTAATTTTTTACGACCTGCAAACAATTAAAAAAAAAATAAAAATGTATGTGTTAAATTTAATGACAGCGTGGATTGTTTTTGTTAGAAATTACGTCAAGCTAATAATAGCGTAGTATTATTGCCATTACAAAGGTCATATTTCTTACACCAATCTTTTACATCCCGTTTGCAATTGACCCCATAAAATCTTTCCCGAACTCGTGCAAATGTCCTTTTAGTACCAAAGTGTCCTCCTGAACGGCTGCTATGAAGCTTTTCACTTTTTACCTGTGATTTCGGCAATATCACTTGGCGGACTACAAGTACTCGGGGCAATCCCACTTCCGGAGCAATAGGCCATCGTGAAGATACAGGGAATCCCACTGAGTCCAATATCCTTTAATTGTTCCACTATATTTGGCTATCTCCTGCCTTGTAGGTCTGACTTCTTTTTTAAGCCATTCTCGGACAACCTTCAAGTCATTGTCTTTCTTTTGAGTCTTTTTTAGACTTTCAAGAGTGATACCGTCTTCGTCATCCTCTGGGTTGATAGTGGTCGCCTCGCCTGAAGACATTGTCGTTCTAAATACGGTCGCCTAGAAAGAATGTCTGCGTTGCTATGGAGACGTTCTCTTCGATGCACTATCTTGAAGTCGTATTGTTGCAGTCTTTCTATCCATCTAGCAACTTGTCCTTCAGGTTTTTTAAAATTCATCAGCCACTGCAAGGCGCTATGGTCACTTCTGATAATAAAACTTTTGTTAAAAATGTACAGTTCATCAAATTTCTAGAGGCTTTCGACGGCTAGACAGAGAAAGCACTACTGACAGGCATCCCGACGGATTTACGCAATGAAAGTACACTCTGCGCATCAAGTATTTCACTATTTCATTCAGACGTAAATGTCAGATGTAAATTTCGCTAAAACATTTCTTTTATTTTCGTTTGTGTTTTTTGCTCATTACAGTTTAATAGAACCTAAGTATGGAGTTTAATAGCAAATTAAGAGGCCGCGTGATTAACAGTCAATCTCGCGAAATAATAGCCAATGTTATAGAGTTTATGAGAAGAGAAGGAAACTTTAATTCACCTTCAATACCATTTAAAAATGTAAATGATCGTGTTGCTGCAGCTACAGGAGTATCTAAAAACACTGTCGTCCGCATTTCTGGAGAGAAAAAAAGAATCGATAACCGTGAGATATCGGAATTTTCATCACCAAGAAAAACCATTAAAAAACCAAAAACAGTTAATGATATAGATGAAGCTGCACAAGAATCAAATTTTATTTTTTTATTATTAGATAGCTATTTTTGTTTCTGAGTTGTGTTCATTTACAGGCTCAATTTTTTTCCGTTTCTCCTTTTTGATTTTATATGGGGTTTCAAGTTGTTTTTGACTTATTTCGACGTAAATCACAACAACACACTTTTTTAATAAAGCAAACAAGTGTTAAGAGGTATATGTACGTGTAAACTACAATTACAAAAAATTGATATGATACCCATGAAACCACCAACAAAAATGTAAAGCTAGCTTCCGTACTAGAACATGGTGTCATTCGTCGAGATAATTTATCATTTTGTTTATTAGATCAAGAAATGTTATTTTTTATAAAATTATAAGAGAAATAAATTTTTTTCTAAATAGTATAGTTTATTATTTTGTAGAAAAACAAAATTTCGAATATTTTAGTAATGTTTCAGAAACAACCGTTATTAATAATAGGTACCATTTTCCTTAATAAGGTAGAAATAAAATATAAACTATTTCCACGATTTACAAAGGCCTACAAAAAAATTATAGGTATTTTTCGCTATCCTATAAAATTTATATTTTCTGACTCAATTTCAAAAGGTTGAAGGAATTCCAAAACACCTTTTATGGCATAATAATTATTTTCAATTCTACATACTATCTTTAGCTGCTTTAAAAAACGTTCTAGGAAAGTCCAATCAGACCAATTTAATCCCTAAACTATTCCACACTTTTAAAATTTAATTACCTAAAAATATTAAAAACTATTTAAAATAACTTGTTGAGCAGACTGTACAATAGCTATCTTAGTCACACGTAGCGCGTTCTCTGTCTGGGCGTCGAACACCTCTAGAAATTTGATGAACTGTAAGTGTGGAAGTGTTCGAGGGCTTTGACAATAGCTAAAAGTTCTTTTCTTGTGACGCAATAATTCTTCTCAGCTTTTCCTAAGGTCTTACTAAAATACGCAATTACTTTCTCTTCCCCCTCCTGTTCTTGGGATAGCACGGCGCCCACGGCATGTTGGGATGCGTCACAGTCTAAAATAAAATGTCCTTTTTCCCGAGGGTACGCTAGGATAGGTGGTCAATCGTTTTTTAACTCGGCGAAGGCATTTTGACAATCCGGCGTCCAGTAAAATAGATTACTGTTTTCAGTTAGTCGATGAAGGGGTTTAGCAATTTGACCAAAGTCTTTGACGAATTTTCGGTAATATGAGCAAAGTCCAAGAAAACTTCTAATTTCCCTTTTGTCTCTTGGTTTCGGCAAATCTCTGACAGCTGCAATTTTCGTCCTTGGTCAGAATGTAATTCCAGGGGGACTCCGTGTCTCGCAATGACGTTCGTCATAAATGCTTCCGCTACTGTCGTCGCTTCCTGATTAGGAATAGGCACTATTTCATATGCACTGCGTAACAGTATGATACAGGATGCTTCTGAATGCATGCTGTTTACTTTCATTATTTATAGAGGAGTCTAAATAGAACTTTTGTGATAATACAACAGATCCATAAATTCACTAATTTCATGATACTCTATTAACCATTTTAACAGCGTACTACGAATGAAATGACATAAATAAGATTTCAAAATATTAACGCGTATAGAGTATGTTAACCTACGCATCAAGCAAAAATTATATTTGGACGTGAGAGCGATAAAGAGAGTAATTGACAAGCATGGCATATTGGGATCCACGAGTATTATTCTATTTCTATCTATTCAGTAGCCTTTTGATTCTATAACGTTTTGCTGGAGTCAGTATTGACAAGTTAACATATTGTAGAAATTAAGGTAATCATTTATTATCAAAAATAAATATTTATATGCTTTGTATTTTTAAAAATTAAATTATAAAGATTGCAGTTTTTGCAAAATGAGTTGCCGGACTACTTAGAAAACACAAATTTTGTATTCCGATAAAATATGTCGTTACTGCAAGGTGCGGCTCAGCACATTTGATACAGTGACCAAGTAAACAAATATTTTTTTTCTGAAAGCTTATATTCAGTGGATTTTGGAATTTATATTGAAAAAGTTGGCCTTATTAAAAAAAAAGATTTTTTGAAAATGTACTAAGGGTCAACAAAGTTTAAAAATTATTATGTTAAACCAATGGTGCTACAATAATAACCATTTTCTGAGGTTTACAAAAGTTTGGGAAGATCTGAAGATCATAAAGTTGCTCTTATTTAAAGAAGATACCACATAACAATTTATTTAACAGTTTTCGAGTCTACCTTTTTGTTAGACACTATATAAATATAAAAGTGTTCGGCGAATGTTAAATTTTAATTAGATACTTCATTAGTTTTCTAATTTCTTGCTTTTTTATTGCCAATATAACGTTCGATTGATACAGAGAACGTCTTCCGAGGCCGACCTTGTTGACATAATTCCGAATTTTATTAGCTTTACAAATTTACAGGGAAAACTGCAGCTTTGGATAGATATATTTCCAGCATCGGATCTGCCACCTCCGCCAAAAGTGGATATTAAAATTAGAAAACCGGTGAGATATGAATTGAGAGTAATTATTTGGAATACAGACGAAGTTGTTTTGGACGAGGACGATTTTTACAGTGGAGATAAAAAATGTGACATTTATGTGAAAGGGTAAATAATAGCATAATTTATCTACGAAGGTAGAGAAGATATTTTTCGCTAATACGTTATTATATATAGCTTAATGCAAGTTTATTTTTAATGCATTTAATACATGGGTTAATATCTCAAACATGCAAAAACAAAATTTTAAACCTGCATAAAAATGAAAACTAAACTTGTTGAACATATAACCTAGTTTAGAAATACACCTCCTTTTAGTAGCAGCTTGAAATCTACGTTAGTACTAAGAATAGGATAAAATCAAAAATAACCTTTCCTGGGTAATGTTACAATATGAACTGAAATAATATACCTAAACCACTCAAATGTTTTAATATTACATATCACATACAAAGCGTATTTTTACACATATTTATGAGGACACAACATATTAATACTTTGTTCAAAGACAAATAAAGTTTCTCTAGATTTTCTTTGTATTATCGGCGAAGGCAAAATGCGTATTATGTCCTCAAATGCAATGGAAAATACATCAATATGAACCATAGTAAATGCAGTTGCTGTATCTTAAACCTGCCACTGTTATGTAATTTTTGTCTTCATCGACCACCAGAATGCAGCAACAATATTTATAAATTTTGTTCTGACTCTTTACTTTTACTAAATTAAAAGCTCCAATATTGAGATTAGTCCAAGATATTTCTAAGTTTAAAGTTTCTTATAATTGTCATGCCATTAAAAGATGTTGAACCAGTCATATAATCAGAATCAGGTGTTTCAATTGTAATGCCATTACAAGATGTTGCACCAGTCATATCAAAATCAGATATTTCAACTATCATGCCAGTAAAAGATGTTACAATAGTCATATCAGAAACAGGTGTCAGTTCGTAAGACATTTGTCCTATATGTTTATCATGTGTATACAGTGTAATATTGTAGTGCATTTAAAACAACTTAGTCTTCTCATAACAAGTACTTTTGGGACAAATCTGTACCATACCACTTGATGTACTTGCATCATGCCTTTGAACACAGGTATTTTTGTCTTGACAGCTTGCGACAATAATAGCTCTTTTTCATTGAATTCCTCTTGAGTTATTATATATAAAGTAATTTCTGTTCGTTCTGTCAAGACCTACAAAATTCTTTAAATCAGGAATATATTTACTATACCCGACTATTTGGTCTGCAGTTCTTCTTAGTACTCCTCCAATACCATCAGGGACACCTTTACCGTGTCCCGCTTCATGATAATTCCATGTAGCATACGTAATATCAGAAAAGAAGTCTTGGACGTGGTTGACAAAATATAAAACAAATGTTTGTTTATATATTGTGTAGGTGGAGAGTCAGACAAATATTAATACTGGGTGATGTATTTTGCAGAAACTGAAGTAATGGATGGAAATGTGCCCATATTGAGGTAGCATTGTGCTGTAAACTTTAACTAGGAGTACAAAAAGTATAAGTAGTAAGTTTAGAATTTTCGTCTAATATCAAGCAGATTACGGCTGTATGAAGTGTAATCTGTTTTCTACTTCCTCCAAAATGAAAGGATTGAATTTCCTTGCCATGTTTTAAAGAGTAATTTTCACTAAAATCTACATGAATTAAAACTTTAAATTCTGTTTCAATTCGGATATGGAATTATATTGAGCGATTATATTAGCTTCATGTTTTCTAAATTGGAAAAACTATTTTTCAAGTATAGTCTGCAGGATTGTTTACGTGTCAGAAAACATTTTTCCTTTAGCATTACAGTAATAATTTTTTCTTTACCTGCCTTCAATGTGTAGGACTGTTTTTAAATATGCCATTCCCTGTAAGAAAACTCTTCACATTCGTCAAATGTAAGGAAGGGAATCACTTTTTCCGTGCATTCAGTACAGTTCTTCTCGAGACACTTTGTAACTTTATCATGACAGTAAATTAGTCATATTAGTTCTTTGAGCGACTTGAAAGAAATTATTTAATATTAAACATTGCTGAAATGAGTTATTCCATATTTTCATAGGTTTTACATTTGCAGGTGTCACGTGCGGTGACACGAGGAGTCACAATGTAGAATCGCCTCATCTTGCAAAAGGACGTGTAGTTAATGAAGTAGGTGTGCGTTTTTAAAAACTGTTTATGTAGCTCTTTTAGTGAGTCACAAACATATCTTTTTTGTCTTTTCATTTTTTTTCTTGTGATACAGTCCTTTTTACCTGGCGCCATTTTGCTGTTAGAATCTTGCTACGTCTAGCCCTACTCTTTCGCTCAGCTTGTGTTTAAAACAATAATTTCTCGCAGTTTTGTACAAGTTTCGGATATCAATAAATAGCTTCAGTGTATTAAGTATCTTATACTTCTTAAACATAGGGAGTTGTCTCATAACAACATCTTCAGTCTTCTTTTTCTAAAGGGTTGCAGTTTGTTCACTTCTATGGTTATAATCTCATTAAAAAGTAATCGTTTAATAACTTTTTTTGGGTCTGATCAGTTAGCAATAGCTGAATTTTTGTTTTTGCGCTCTTAGATTTTTTCTGCAGGTTTTTAAATCTCTAATATCTTTTTCTATATTTTTCAGACTTTTTCTTAAGCGTACATTTTCCCCTTTAAGCTTCTCATTTTATCTAACAACTTTGCTGCGATCTCTTATTTTTTCCTTCCACATATAACAGCCGGGTCACAACTGGGCTATTTGTTCGTGATTGCTCACTAGGAGGTGGATTATTTTCGTAAAGCAACTGTTCTAAATTATTAGCACATTTATTCTGTGCAGTCTTCCTTTTATATTAAGCATTATTATTTTTCCGCCATTGTTTCCTTTTAACTCTCTGTTGTCAAAAAGTTAACTCGCTAATAGGTTTTACAATACCTTTTTTTCTTCTTTAAATAGTCTTTCTTTCTCCTTATGTTGTTCATAAAGTAAAGGGTTTTCATTAATTTTTCTGTATCGTTCGCGCTCTGCTAACCGTTTTCTAAGCAGCGTTTCTTCCCGAGAAAATTTTTTGGCATTATGAAACGATCCTTAATCTATAATAAAAACAGACAGGTCAATATTATGGTTTATGATTAGTATATAAAATCCATATAGTTTTTGTAAGCACTGTTAATCGATATCACTTTCAGATGTATTCTACGAGTTTAAAACGTTAATTTCCTAGTTTCTTGTTTCAAAATTACAATTTCACATTTCTCTGTTGTATTTACATTCCCCTGGAAAATTAGGACCAGTGCAATGTAAATCAGGGGAATGTGAATTTTAAAATATATTATAAATAATAACCCAACATTTCCAATAAAAATCAAGACATATAGTTATGTGGTGTTTTTCATCTGATTATGTACACTGTTGTATATTAAAAATAATAATATCTTAATTAACTTACCTTTTTAGACCTCCAGGATAATGTTATTCAATAAAAACACGGGTCCAAATCGTAGCACTAAGGAATTTTTTTAAATAAAATAAACGTTCATCCACACTCTTCAGACTGAAATCAGGATTACATTTGTCATTCGGGAAATGGCGGGAAATTTTGAAATTTGTTATTTACCAGGAGAATATTAATATTTTAAAGGGACATATTTTGCTGGAGTGATAGTTCTCTTAACTCTTAATAATTTATACATTAGGTGAGCTTGATTTACTTCTTAATATCGTAGAAATCCGGGGTACTAATAAATAATATAGCATACTTTGCTGTTAAGGAGTTAGAAAAAAATGTTGATAAAGAACAGCGTATTGGGACAACCGGGGTAATGTGAATTTTTTTAAACTTAATTTAAATACATTATATGACACTATTTAAGCTGAAAATATTGGTTAATTATAGTTTCAATAGAAAAAAAAATAGACAGGGCCATTTAATAAAATTTTGTATTTCCAAAATATATATGAACAACAAATCTACAATTTTGAGATATTGACCCATATCTTTAGAATCTTCTAACACAAAGTTTGTTGCATTTCTAGGTGGGTAGCAGATCCTTCACATTCACAGTACACAGATGTACACTACAGATCCTTGACTGGCGAAGGAAACTTTAACTGGAGATTTGTTTTCCGCTTTGACTATTTAGCAACAGAAAATAAAATTGTTATTAAAAAGAAAGAAAACCTTTTCGCCATGGACGAAACGGAGTATAAAATACCTTGTACTTTAACTCTTCAGATATGGGATAACGATACCTTCTCTAAAGATGATTTTATAGGTAATTCCTTGTTCATTTTATCTAACTTTTTTTATTAACCACCAAAATATTATGTAGATTTGCAATAAGATCGGATCAAAAATCAAAGATTATTAATATTTTTAAATTTAGTCAGTCTCTAGTAAAGTTATAATATAAATATAGAAGAGTCGGATGTGCCAGGTACGATTTATATTTACACTAACGCACGGTGGGGCACTATCAGAAATACACGGCCAAAACTAATTAATTAAAATTATGCAAATTCCATGAAATATATATACGGTTGGGTTTAGGGTAAACTACATGCGTCCTAATAAATAAGGTTTTCGGACAGGCATCTGCGTTTAGAGTACCGGAGAGCCGATGTTAGTTTGCATTTGAGTGTGTGAGCGGTAGTACGTTGTTGTTATTATTGTTTTATTTGAGCTCAATTTAAATTAGTGTTGTATGCCAGAAGGTAAGTGTTACTTTTAACAGTATTTAAAAATATAGTTAGTTAAACATTTTACATATCTATTTTATTTTTACTTAGATTTTATATGGGTAACGATAAAAACTTTATGTAAGTATCTTTTCGAGGTCAGAATGAGGTACTTCCTGGATGTTCCGGGATACAAAAATATTTACATAATTTAGCTCAATACTTTAGCTATTAGTACAAAAAAAAATATTTGGTAATATCTTGATAAGACGAGCTAAAACAATCAAATTTAAGTAATATAGGTATAGGTATGTTGCTAAAAAACTCAAATTTAAAGCAGTTTGACATTTTTACATTAAAGAATATATATACAGAGAGGAAACGTGGGTTTGAACAAACTCATTTAAAATTCAGGGATTTGTTTTTGTTTTGTTTGACACGTCGATTTTTAATTTTGGATGCGGTTTAACTTTCCTCTTTGAATACAGATAAGGAAAGTATACGAATCATTAAACAATGCATTTTAGAATTATCAACAATTTTTTTAAATTTTTCTGGTTATTACAGGGTCAAAAGATATGAAGGAAAAAAACCTCATGCTTAATCTTTCTCTGAGGTAATGTTGGAATGCAGCTCAACAAAATTTAAAGATAGATGTCATCATATTTTAGCTCATATAATGGAGTTAACCCAGTGCCCGAAGAAATGTTGCATGTTATTAAACATAAGTTTTTCTATTTTACTTCTGACTTTAAAGTCAAGTTTAAGTCTGCACAATTCAAATAGGAAAGATTTTTTGCACAAAATAAGAAATGGCTAGACACTGACGTTATGTTTTCTGTGTTTAACAAACCAACTAGAACGGTATCGGGAGGTCGTCTTTCCTTAAATTTTACAAGAAGTAGTAAATGATAAAAAACAAGAAAGACAGAGGAAGTTCGTGCTCAACTAAGTTCTGCTGAACTTGTGAATGCGGCCCATATGAATCTACAATCTAAAGGGAAAATAGACGCGGCCACAGTAGTTAAAGTGTTTCATTTTTCGACACTAATTAGAGCTAAAAATACATTAAAGTCAACAAATAAATGGATGACAAAAAAAGGAGCTATCTGGAGAATGTTCTTTATCGGTTCTAGTCAAAGCAAAACTGACTAGAGAACAATATGAGGCAGTAAGAAGTAAAAACAAAAGGAGCTTTTCATCATACAAAAAGATTCACGATGTTAAGAATCATTGTTATTCAGACAGTGAAGCTATAATAATTAAGGAGACGAATGCTGCAGTAAAGTTGCAAGCATTACTTGACCACACCGTTAAGCGTATTGTTAAAGGGCAAACTGATGTTTTACAGTCCTTATATAATATAAACTTCAGTGTTTAACATTGGTATGTAAATGGGGGTATGATGGAAGCTCGAAGTTCACCCAAGACAAAGAAAAATTTAAAAGCGGTGATGATTCAGATGCCGCTATATTTTTGACATCCCTTGTAACTCTTCAGCTTATATCTAGCAAGTCAAATAAGGTATGTTGGCAGAATCCTCGATCTGGTTCACCCCGATTTTGCTGACCTGTAAGGCTACAGTTTATTCATATGCCGAAATTACTCTGGCAGAGAAGACCTATATGGAGAATTAAATTAAAGATTTAACTCCTACAACTGTTAATTTAGGTACTGTGGAAGTCTACATATCTCAGTTTGTTATTTACAATGATTGATGGCAAAGTGTGCAATGCTGCAACCTCCACAACCTCTGCTCAGAAATGCTACATTTGTATAGAGACCTCTAATTCATAATATGTTGAAGAAAGATATTAATATCAGTTCGCTGTCTTTTGGACTTATACGCATCCGTGCTTGGATAAGATTTTTTGAATATCTGCTACACATGGAATATAAACTGCCCATAAAGCAATGGCAGGCTAGAGGCGAAAAAAATAAAAATGTCGTGTCAAAGAAGAAAAAAATTCAAGAGGATTTTAATTTCAAAATGAGCTCAATGGAGGATCGCCCTAAACCTGGTTTGGGCAGTAGCAACGATGGAAATACTGCTCGTCATCTTTTGGAAAATGTTTCACTTTCGTCAGAAATTATAGAGATAGATGAAAATATTATTATTCGAATTGGCCAGCTAAGCGAAGAAGCCAAGAAGCATTAAATAAGGCTAAAAAAAGATAGCGAATGCTTTGCCACAGAAAGCAGACTTTGGGAGACATTTTTAATAGACATCTTCTATGTTCAGATCCAGTTATATCAACTATCAGAAAACTTCCTACACGAAAGTCAAAATCTTTCGAAAAAGACGTTTTAGATTTGCTAATAGCTTCAGAAATGCTGTCACCGCAAGTGGATGACTATTCAAACGACGATATCTTAAAAGGTTCTGAAGATGCTTAACTTGTTTTATTGTAATGTAATAATAAATGTATTTTTAAATTGCAAAAACAAAGATAAATGTAGCTAGAGTAAAATTCGTCTTCTAATCGATTCAATTTTCTTGATGTAAGAATTTTAAACTAAGGAATTACTTAAGATAATTAAATATAAATGATATTTTTTCCGTTTTATCATTGCAATCAATAAAAAAGAAACATTTTTTTCAATTCAAACTTTTAACGCAGTTAATTTGAAACACCCTGTACAATTTTTAAAATCATCCAAAAGTGTTTTTCCTAATATTTAAACAACATAAATTTAGTCACCAACAAAGATACATTTCTCGTTTATTTTTATGCTCTCTGTTGTCACCTGATATTTGTAAAATAATATAAGTAATGCAAAAGTAATTTTCTTAATATTTAAACAATATTAGTTAACTTTAGTGAACATTGTTAAAAGATTAGGTTTTGGACAGATTACTTTAATTTTGCCCCACTGTGTAACGGTTCAAAAACAAAACATGGCACAGGATGTAGAATATACCAGTATACCAGATCCATAAATTTAAATCGAAAATGGCGGTTTACAATAATGGCAGTGTAGTCCAAATTGAGATTAGGGGGATTATTATCGCAGCTAAAGAAAATACTAGAAACAATATCACTGAAAGGAACATGTTCAATTACTCAGATAGCAAACAAGCACTACTCACTCTGGACAGACCACAAATTTACTCAGGGTTCGTACTAGAAGTCACCAAGTCTTGGTGAAAGTATCTATTAACAATGCGGTCACCTTAAGATTGATTAAAGATCACGTCACATCAAAAGTTAACGCTCTTGCCAATTCACTAACCAAAAAGGTAGCCAAACGAATACTTTTTGGACCTGACCATTACATAGGATTAAAACCATCGGTCGCGACAAACTAACTAAGGAACATTTGCTTGGGAAAATCAAAGAAAGTTTGCAAGATTCTACATCTTTGCTAAAAAGCTTCTAAGTAGAAGTAGACTATGACTAGACATAATTTGCGCCTGATTAAAAGTATTCTGGCTGGTCGTTGTGTAAGGAAATACCCCCATAGCATGTGGCTTTCAATCTCGGAACTCTGTAGCATATCCTGTGAGCCTATTATTTAGGATTGTTCGACGCTATCATCTATTAGGGTAAAAACATAGTATAGCAGTCTTCGAAGTCGCGCCGCTTCTATTGAATATTGTTGTGCATGTTACTGCACTTCGTCGCCTCTTTGAAACAAAACTGTTTTGTTCACGTGACCGTTCATCACTGAATTTTCTAGTATTAGGCAGCTGTCTCTAGAGAAACAAATTTTGTTTTTTAATTTACGGCAAAATACTCTTGTTTCTGGGTTCCATTGATATTATTTAACCATCACCGTGCGGTTAGCAGTTCCATTATAATTTTTGGTTGTTTGATGAGTATTGTCATCATCGTCCAACAGAAGAAAGCCGCCTCTTGGCGACTTTGTTAACTACATAAAATTGTAGAGTGGCCTAATAAATTGAAAATGATACAAAGTGGACCTAGTGAGGCCTAAATTGTATACAGATCATTTGCAATTTAGTTCTTCAGATATGGGTTATCGATAAAGAAGATTTTAATGAAAATTCCTTGTTCGTTTAATTTAATTTTTTATATAAACTACTAAACAACAAATAGGTCTGCAGAAAGATCAGATATAAAATAAAAGATTATTAATATTCTTAAATTTGAAGCCTCTGACACACAAAAAAAAACTATTCTTAAATTATGAAATCAAATCTCTCAAGAACATATATTGTCGAAGAACAGATAAAGCTTTTAAACTAAAATACCTATTTTTATAAAATTTTCTTCTCAATTTAAGGGACTTTAACATTGGAATTGCCAAAACTAAGTAGACCAGCTAAGGCAGTAAACAAATGCACTTTGCAGATTTTAGAAAAATCAGCACCAACTGTCAATTTATTCAAAATCAGAAGGACTAAAGGATGGTGGCCGCTAAAAGGACTTGATAGCAAAACCAAAGAAGAAATATGCACGGTAATAACTTTAATAAATTACATAAATAATCTAAATAATAAAGGTTTAACTAATAGACAAGTACACGCAAATGAATAATTTTTATTTCTAGTCCTTTCATCTTTGAGTAAAGTTAAAAATAACTGCTTTCTGATTAGACTATTGGGCTATTGTTTGTTAATCTGTAAAGTAAACCTACATGTAACTTTATTCAGAGGTGAAAAAATCGACTCCCATAAAGCTGTACAACGTGGGTATTCCATTTGAGAGGATTGGCTTAGATGTTGCTGGACCATTTTTCATGACCGAGGATGGTAATAAATACATGATGTTGGTTATGGATTATTTCACGAAGTGAATAACAGTCTACGCTATTCCAATTTAAGAAGCCGCAACTGATGCAGACGTGTTAAGAAAAACATTTATCAGTCGATTTGGAGTGCTCTTGGAGATCCACAGTGGCCAAATCAAAAATTTTGAAAGCCAGCTTTTACGAGAAATCTGCGACAGACCAGGCATAAAGAAAACAAGAACTACGGCATTGCACCCACAATCTGATGGAACGGTAGAGTGAATGAATAAAACCATTACCACAGAAGAATGTTTCGAGGAGGGCAGAAAAGTCTGGCTCTATAACCCAAAAAGACAAAAAGGTTATTCTCTAAAGCTCCAGAGGTCTTGGGAAGGTCCGTACCTCATTAGGAAAACAAATTTTGATGTTATTTATCGTATACGCCAGATCTCGAATGGTAAACCGAAGGTAGTGCACCAAAACCGACTGGCGACATTTGAATGTGATCATGACAGGGAAAAAGAAGTAAATCAGCTCCAAGAAACACCCGACCTTATCAATGAAGAATGTATTAGTGCATATGAAGGTACCGGAAAAGCAAGATAATGTGGTGGTACTACTGCTGCTACATAGCACTTCCGCCAGCATCAACAAAGCACGAGCACTGGCATCTGCTTTCCGGAAGAAGTTTGGTCGATTGCCAGAACTTCAAGGTCAGTTAGCAACTCCTAGAGAAGCCTTAAAACTTCAGGATAAAGAAAAATTAATAGAAAGGAGGACAGCTTCTTGCTTAAAACAAACTTAGACCGTTAATTATCTATATTTCATTTGATTGCCACTTTTCACGAACGGATTATTTCTGGTACTTTTGGCGGAACTAGTCTGCTCTCATTTGAAAGCATTATTAAATTATCATTAATGAGTATTGAATTTTAGACAGAAGTATAATTTATTTGTAACTACTACAAATTAAATTTGATCTATTCTTATTATCAAGGAAACAGCTTCTTCAAGTATTATATTTTTAGTTAGTTTGGCTTCATAAATCAAACAAAATATCATGTGAGGGTATGCTTTTAATAATATAAAGTAGATATATTTTATAGTTACTGAAGGGTGGTGTGAAAGAATTTTTTCTAAAACAAAAACTAATTTGATTATCTATGGAACAGTAACTCAAGTCTGCAATTTACGTCAATTTACATTTTTAAAAATAAAAATAATAAGTGATCGGTTAAAAATTGTGTCGTCTGAAAAAAAAAAGCTTTTAGAAAGCTCTGTTCCAAACTACCTGCTGCAACCTTCTATTTTGTAACAAAATATAGGTACGTCAACCTCAACTTCACAATTTGACGATAAAATGTGTTATTGATGTTCGTTCTTGTAATGGAATTTCATAAGCGTGGAAAGTTGAAACTTCTCAAATAACTCTAAGCAAGTTAAGAATCCTGTCGCTTCAGTTTTCTTGCGTGAAAACAAATAGGCGTAAAAAATGATATTTAGTACATGGAAACTTGAAACAATAATTTTCTGTAGCTTCCGATAATTTTTGGTTTGAGCATTTTTTATATAGTACGTATTATTTATTTATTTATTTACGGGCAAGCCCATTTGAGAAATAAATTACAATTTTAAATTATAATTAAAATGTAGTAATGTAGTAAATGTAGTGAAATATATATGGTACTGAAATACAAACGTGGTATAATTCATTATACCTATATAGACTAAAATAAGTAAAGAGTTTAAAATATTTAGAAAGACAAAAAAATAAGGTTGAATAAAATATTTATATTAAACATTAAAGATCAAAGATTAAAGCTCAATACTAAGTAATTGCTTTATAACTTTATGAAGGGGGTGTTAAATAACTCAAAATCGTTATGAGTGTTGGCTACTCTTAGGGCCATTCGCACGGGTACCACATAAAAGTATTCGTTAACTAAGCTTCAGATAAATTTAACGTGAAGTTTATAATATGATGGTTCGTACCAACAGCTTTTAATCAACGCTTTATTTAACGAATAAAATACTTGGCAACTATGAGATTTTCTTCTTTTTTTATCATGACCCACGTATAAGATTGCTTTTCAGATATTTAGATTTATGGTTTTATGGTTTTTTGCTATAAATTATTTCTAAATTTTTTTGTCTTTATTTATCGATTTTTCCGTTTCTATTGTATTTACCGTAAAATATAATTACTAAACAACTGGTTTTTTGGTTATTTCAAGAGTTAGTAAGAAAAAAGTTAAAAATATTAAAAATTATATTTTTATTGAAGAATTATACAAATCTATTACCATGGGCTTCAAAGTAATCTATTAACTCATTTCTGAGGTTGATGGCAACATAATCATGTAGGGGTGGTAGGTCAGGGTCTCTAAATTGTTCAAGAACTTGAAGAAAATTGATCTCATTTTCAAAGTAGCACTTCTACATATATTACTCAAGGGTGCTTATTGTTCTTTAATAGGATTCATTAAAAAAAAATCGAATAAACTCACAAAATGTATACCAATATTGTAGGATTTAATACAAACATTATATCGAAATTTCAAATTATTCTCTATTTGCGATAATAATTCCAAAACAGCCTCTTTTGATAACCGAAATCTTAGAAAAAAGGTCTGTGGATCGAAACTATCAAAATATTAGCTTCTCGTATACACTCTTCGCGGTATTCCATTTAATATTAATTCAACAGCTTCCAATTCATCATCGTCATCATCCCTTAACAGTAAATCCATTTTAATTTGGACAACACACCAAATTTTAAAAAAATAATGGCTCTTTTCACGTAATTATCAATTTGACAAATCTGTCACATACTGTCAATCTTCTTTCGTTAAAATCTTAAACCCACATACTTTGATTTTCTTTTACTATACGGAGAATGGTCGCACTGCGCAGCTTTCTGAGTGTCTTTTAAAAGGAGATAGAAAACTCCGCCATTTTGAACCCTTATTAGGTGTTGCATACATCTTGGCGCAATATTTTTATTAAGTGCGTTTTAATCATCTGCTTCTGCTTCGTAATTGTCGGTTTTCTTATTTTAATCTGACAGGTTAAAACGACTAAACCGACAATTCCGGAAGCAGAAGCGGATGATTAAAACGCACCTTATATTTTGCTTGCTGCTGTCAGTGTCAGTGAATATTATTTTTGAAGTCACAGTTTATTGCTAAATAATCAGTTAGCTCACTCGGACCAGTTGAAAGTTCCAAAATAACATCTACTCCAGGGATACAAATTCAGGATACGCAGAACACTGCTGTTTTATTATAGGCGGTTGTCATATATTGTATTATCCGAGTTGCACAGTGTATAAACTGAAACATTGAGATCAAAAGTGCCGACGCAGAGTGAGCGATCTGATTCTTTAGCTGTAAACTGTGTCACAGGGTTCAAAATGGCCGCGCCCTATGTTGGGCGTGTCGGACCTCTCTCTTGCCTCGTATAGTAATCAAAGTATGTGCTTAAACCTCAAATATTTACAGTTTAGGTAAACTCATAATAACTACTACTTAACGAAAAGAAAAATGACGGTGCGAATGAAAATGTCATTCAATGTAAATTTAACCTCAGCTTATCGCTTAACGAATAGTGGTACGAATGGCCCTTAAAGGTACATAAAATGTTTGTTGCTGTCGAGTTGAGCGGGTTGGAATAGTTGGAACATAAAAATTTATTTTTGTTAGAAGTTCAGTACAGCTGCATCTGCCATTGATAATTTATTTTAAAAAGTAATGTCAGGTCTCTCTGTTTCGTCCTAATTTTCAAAGAGGGAATGCTTAGAAAATTTTCTTTTAAACCATACTCGCAAAGGACCCCCAATTTTTAGCCTATGTTTCTAAGAAATTTATGTTGTACATTGCTGCTGTGCGTTATGTAATATGGAGACCAGACAGAAGAGCAATAATCTAGGTGAGGTCGGACTAGTGAACAATACAGGAGTATAATTGCAGTTGTGTCAGTAAAATCATGTCGCAACTTTAATCATAAAGTGGCACAACTAAAAAATGCTAGTTTCGTAGAATCTGCCAAAAACTGTTTTATATTTGGAGCTGTCTTAGTATATTTGAACTTTGAGAAAATTTACGAAGTATTATGAATAAATGAAATATGAGAAAAGGTTAAGCAATATTTTATAGATGTATGTATGATTTAGTTTTTTTTTTAAAAGAAAGGAAAAATAGTTTAACTGTTAGTAAGAAAAAAAATTCACAATTATGTCACTTTAGTAATAAAAAGATTATGTATCAATACGAAATGTGTCAGTTTATGACTAAAAATTGCATAACGATTTTAGTATTATTTTGGGATAGTTCTTTTTTTGGATTATATTAATAAAATATTTCAAGTAACAAAGCAAAAAATGCCTCTTTAGAAGCAAATTTGTAAAGAATGCTATTTCAAACTCTGTCACTATTGGCACACAATAAACATTATGTCGCTTTAGGTCTAAAACACCTCACAAAATCCGATAGAACTAAACTGGCGCAAATATAAATCTGCACTTCCTGGCTGACTATTTCAACGTAGGTCGGAGTTACCTCAATAGATGGTACTATTTTGGATCGTTTTATTACCAAAACTCAAAATCTCAAAATATTGATTTATGCCACTTTATGATTAAAGGTGCGATGTATTAGCCTTTTGTTAGGTATGTGTTGATTAAAGTTTAAAGTGGGATCTAGAATAACTCCAAGGTCTTTAATTTGATTAAAAAACTCCAAGATATGACCATTTAGGTTATAATCAAAAGTTGTAGTTGGTACATGGGATCGATAAAAGCGCATGAAAGGGCACTTTTTGGCATTCAAGTTCATGCCATGTAAGGAACACCAGTTTGATAGATTATTTTATCACACACGTGTACAATGCGATGATATCTTAAAAAAAAAGAAAAATCTTATTCATTATATTTTGTTAAAGGGCAAAGTTGAAGCAGAAATGGAGTTAATAACTCTTATAGATGCAGATAAAGAACCTGTAGGATTGGGAAGGAATAATCCTCATGCACTCCCGGCCCCAAAGTAAGATAAACTATTGATTTTTATTTTAAAAGAGTTACTTTTTTCTTTATTGCACGTACACAATAGTGCATTCTTTAACAAGGTTGGAATAAAAATTCGATTTGAATAACAGACTTTAATTTCTCCATGGCCAAAGACACAGTAGGATATAGTAAAAGGAAATATTGAACAAAATGAAATATTTAATCTGACATATTAGACGACAAGTTTTTATTTAAATTATGTACACAATTTGTCAGTTGAAGAAGAATATTTTCAAATGACATATAAGAATCATTACATTCATCAATTTTTGAATTGAAGTACGACTTAACCAATTTTACTTTAATTGACAAACAGAAAATAATATCTATTTATTTTCAACGACTTGTTTTAGTGTGTTTATATCGTTTGTTAAAGGTATTTAGATTTCAAGAAAGTGGGTTATTTTGTCGTGTATTGTGTTTAAATTATTTTTTGCTGATTTAAAATGGAAAATAAGGACCAAAACAATATTATTACTAAGTTTACCGTAATTTTATTTTTATACGTCAATCTGTCCTTCTTTGATATAAAAGTATCATTATTACTTAATTGTATTAATTTTTAATTTTGAGAGATTAAAAGTTTAAACATAAGTCATCTAAATAAATGCATTTTTTTATTATACTCCGAAATATGAATTTAAAATCTCTTTCAATAGTAAATAAGACTTATTTTTATGTTGGCCGGCAATTAAACCCTCTCAAAAGTGTCTGCCTAAATAACTAGTATTTTTAGAATTACCTAAACTTTCAATTGTCGGGAACATTTGTGATACCAATTTATTAGAAGCTCTTCTAGTTCTTGTATTGCACAAATGTTCCAGTCCGCAGACGTATATTTAGTTCCGCTTCATACTAATACGAATAGGGTCGGATATAACATTCCATGGCTTTAACGTCGCACTGCTGTGCCGGTCGGAGTGGGGGGTGTTAGGTTTATTTTCGTTACGGTGTTACGAAATTTCTTGATTCGGTCAACACTCAAAGCCCGCGATCATATCGATTTTAGTATTAATATGAACATTACATAGATCAAAATAGAAATGATGCGTTTGACATTTTAAGACAGCTGATGCGGAAAGTAGCATATTCGTACACGGGTTGAAAGTAAATTCTTATTCATACGCATGTGATATAGGGCACTTTCCATAGGACTATATAGTATGATATGTGTCACTTTCCTAAGTGGTCGTAGGAAAATATAATATAATTTATTTCTATTGTTTTGATTAGCAACGCTCGAATTATTTCTTTAGCATTTTATTTATGACACACTGTTAAAATTAACTAAATTTATGTTTTGCTATTTTTTAGATAACTCTCTTACAAACCACATTCTACACGAATTTCCTTTTTTTTTGGTTGTTTCCATCACAAAATATCCCTTGATCCTATCGCGACCTTCTAGATTGTTCACTCTTTATTGATTTTAATTCGTTTTGTCCAGAAAAACAAATGAAAAGTGTAGACGTAATTTGCGGATGGGAAGATGTGTTAATACAATAAAGTTAACTTGTAATTTATTGAAGACCCACAAGAATCAACATGTTGTTGTCATGGTCGTCCATATAGGGATGTATTATTGAATATGTTTTTATTACAAGGATGAAAATATGGAAGGATAATGAAAATCGGACAGGAAAATTTCAAGCTACAAATTTTAATCAGTAATTTTTTTATACTATCTTTCGGAGCATCTGGTGGAGGAGGGGGGGTGGAAGTACTTTATAGGGGGTCATTTTTCTATTTTAAAAAGTAATGTAGGTATCTGTTATTTACTCCTGAAGAAGAACATTAGTTAAATAAAAGTCGCTTGTAATATTATTCTTTGTAATTGTTTTTTATACATGATTACACTAAAATGGTCCGTATTCGATAAATTTATGAAAATTATTTAAACAAATATTGTTTGCGATATCATTTTCTATAATACGAGGTTTGGCAATTTAAAAACCGGACTGCAATTGCTAAACGTAAATACCGGAACGTAGCAAAACGTAGTGAATAAGCTAGTTGTCTTTGAACCCTTCCCTCTCTTTTTTCCCTTCCCGTTTTTTTTTATGTCACTGTATATTAATAATCAAAATCGGCACAGAGGCATATCTTTGGACAGGGGATAATATTTTATGTATAACTTCTCATTTTGTTACGGGGGGCGCCACTTGAATGATTACTAATGATGAAATTAAGTGGTAGCTTTTTTTGACAAAACTTTTTAGTATTTTTGATTGGAAAATATGATGTAAACGTCATTTCCACGTAATATTGGTACTCTTGTTTAAACACGATAATTTTACCCGTTTTCGAGAAAAACGCAATTGTGCAGCTCACAAGTCTCAAATGGGGAGTTAAAAAAATATTTCACATATGGGAAGTGTGCTTTGGAGTATCAGATAATTCTGTTTGGTACATGTAATTTCTTGACAGTGAATTATTTTTGCTGTTTGATTATAGCCTATTATTATTATTTATCACCCTGTATCTTATTCCACAAGAATATTTTATTAAGGTATATTTGGCCCTATCGCCATATTTTGCTCCAAATAATCTGACCTTAGATTATGTCCCAATAGTTATGAATCACCCTGTATATTTCTCTTTTTTTTTCAGTCGGCCAGATACGTCATTTTCCTGGTTCAGGAATCCACTGAAAGCCATAAAGTTTCTTATATGCAAAGTTTACAAATGGAGACTGATTCTTTGTGTTCTAATTATGTTGGGAGTTATTATGGCAATATCTTTCTTTTACTCATTACCGACTACTATTTTGAAAGCTATTGTTCGGATTAAATAATGTATAATAGTTACATTTTATTTATTTATAAGTTTATATATTTATTAATATTTTAAATAAATATATTTTTTTTCACAGTCTTATTTTATTTAATTGACATGAATTATATTTAGCTAGCAGATACAACCCTAGAAATTAAAAATATGTGGTGTATAGAATTAAAGTTGGAAATCTCTATATTTGGATTTTGCGGCCACAATTGTAAATTTCTCGCTCTATTGAACTGAACGTAATCTTAAATGGTAAAATTCTGACTCTTCAGAATCAAACAAGGCATTCTGAGTATTAATAGAAAATATTACTGCCACGTGTATTTCTACAACATATTATGTTTGCTACGTCGGAAAATATCAATTCAATTAGCTAAAGGAGTCATACTTTTTAAATAGTGCGTAGAATACTGTATCACTGCAATATTCTTTAGCAAAATTTTGCTATTCATTTGTCACAGGATGAAGAAAAAATAATTGTTATTCAAATTTAAAATTGTATCGCTTGTATGCTCCGTTGTTGTTAATTGCCTATTTCAGTTTTCCTATTAATCTCATCTCTATGTGTCTGTAGAAAGAGTGAAATATTTAAATTATTAGGTGTTTGTTCTTTATTCTAATAATTCTAGACAATGAATAAAGTGGCAATTAAATGAGAACGGTAATGATAGAGTCGATTAAAATTTATTGATTATGTATTTATAAATTTTTGTATTTGTCTATAAGCATTTTAAATAGAAAACATACTACCCATAGTAAAAATTGATATCTTATAAATTTCTTTGATATGTAACGGATATGTAATAAATATTTCTTAATAATATTTAATACTATATTCAACGTCGTCTTGCATACTATCGCGGCCACCTTTTCTATGGGTCAAAAGAATTATTTAATGTTATTAATTCGGGCTACCTTTCTTTATGAAATAAAAGTAGAGTTAAAACATAACAATTTTATTCATCAATAAATAACCAATATTCAAAATATAAAACAGATGATAATAATAATAATATACAATATAAAAGGGCCTTACCAAAACATTCCCCTTGAGTGGCACTTCACGACGCTTACTCCAAAACTAAAAGGTATCTATTACTTTAGATACTTCCCAGTACAGCAAAAGGAGAACTGTCCTCGTAACAGTAATCAGGGTCGAATTTATACCTATTAACTATTTGCTGAATTTGCTATTTCTTTAATTCGACACAATTAATGCAGGTCGTTAATAGTTCAACGTCTATGTTTTTGTTATGAAATGTATACAATATTATTTTTACTTAAGGATATATTTACATTTATGCGATTATTGAGATTTTCTGTTAGAGATAATTATTTTTACAAAAGGAAAGACTTGTATTTCGTGCAAAACTTTTTAAATAATAAATGCAAAGCGCTTTCGGCATTTTGCCATCATCAGTGCTTATTGTCCACAAACGTATCCAACAAGTTCCTGGTCATCCTCACTCCCAAAATTAGATATTTCAGGATATTTACAACTTGCTAAATCATGATTATTACTATTAGTAATATTTTCAAATTTAAATTTCTTTATACAGGGTAGCTGTTAAAGATGGAACCAAACCTATAGTGCTTAAACGGTTCAACATACAAAACCCAAAATTTCAGAATTTCAACTAAATACATTTGCGCATATTTTATCCCAAAAATGATTTTTTTTATAATTACAAAATTTTAAGCATGGCCGCCATCTTGATTTTTTTAAATAGCAACATAGGTCCTGTGATATATAATTTGAAAGGGTTTAACACCCTGATTACAAAAATGTATCACACATGGGGTCTAAACAGAAATTGGCTACCTCTTCGTGCGTGCGTTTTCTTTCTCCATACTCAACCATCATGAGTATTTCAATTCTTTCATTTTTGGTCAATTGATTCATTATTACTAATTACTTTGAAATGATTCAATTTAACAAATTATTTTACTATTCGACACCTGTCTCTTGCAACTTAATCAACAATAATTGTTATAATATTTGACGTCTTGTGTCAAATGCACAGCCTCCTACGCTCCCTATTAATATCATTTCTGTTGTGTTTACACCGCATGTGTGATACATTTTTGTAATCAGGGTGTTAAACCCTTTCAAATGGTATATCACATGACCTATGTTGCTATTTAAAAAAATCAAGACGGCGGCCATGCTTAAAATTTTGTTATCATAAAAAAAATAATTTTTGGGCTAAAAAATGCGCAAATATATTTAGTTAAAATTCTAAAATTTTGGGTTTTGTGTGTTGAACCGTTTAAGCACTATAGGTTTGGTTCCATCTTTAACAGCTACCCTGTATATTCAATTTTAATAAAAAAGTAGTTTTCGAGCATAGCTAGTCGTCTTTGGTTTTTCTTCTTCAAGTGTAAGAAATCTTAGTCTTGATAGACCTTCGTAGTAGTACAATACGTCTTCTGTTAATAGACCTACTAGTACTCTAGTATTTTTTCTATTAAGGATTAGTAGATGCTCGGTGTATTTAGTCGATGGTCCTTTTATGCACCCTTTTCCTGTTGCTGTCCTGGTGAATGTTTCCACCATTCATGAGATATTTTAATCATTCACTGCTTTGTGCATGGTCTCATAGTTGACTTTGTGACACCACACAAGTATTCTGGGCCAACAATAGCTTTTGAGGCTCCTTCGTTGCCCTTATATCCTCTGTGGCCTGGAACCCAGGCTAAGGTTTGTCTGTTTTGACTACCCAGGTCTATGGTATCCAAACAGTCCCACATAAGCTTTGAGTGTAGCTGCATAGAACTGGGTGGTTTTAACGTCGTTTGACTGTTCGAGTATATGACAATGGCTTTGCCTTCTGTCTTAAAATCCATCAGAGCCTATCCACCTGTATTTTACCTGAAAACTGTCTCTACTTAGTTATCCTATTAGTCAAAGGCTAGAATAACACAAAAATATAAAATTCCCTGTCTGGTATAATTATTTCATTTTGCCTTTGAAAGCTATAAGTTGAGAGCATTTCGTCTGAAGGCGTTCCCATTATTTTGTTAATTCTTTATATAGCTCACTCTAATCATGTCCACGTAAACTGCTTATGGGAGATGACCTTCGTGCTGTCTTTATGTGACAGATCTGGCTTTACCTTAAATGAGTATATATTGGTGTTAAGTTTAACATGACTTCTGTAGCTGCTGTTGGAGTCACTCTTATGGCTCCCGTGGTACCCAGGCATGTTCGCCTTTGAATACCGAATGGCTCCAGCTAGATAAGTCTTTGGCCATCATAATCCTTATTATAGGAACATTTTTGGTTGTAGTCGCCAATTTTTTCCACATAACCTTTGACATAAGTTGAAGGATGCTGTGCTCTTTTGGGTGACTTTTTGCAAGTGTTGATTCCATGTTAATCTGTAGTCACAGATGACTTCCAAGTATTTGGCATTTTGGGCAAATAGAATCTTCACTCCTTTCAGTACTGGTGACTTTATTCATGTTAGTACTTTTTTTGTATAGCCTATCCGGCCGAAATATGGTTCATGGGACAGGCTCGATCAAAATACTGTAGTTATGTATTAATACTTTTAATGATCAACGTTTTAACCTCTCGAAGCTCACCTCTCAAGTAAGTTAAAGTTTAAGTTCTTCAGTTTATTTTGTAGCCCGAATACCTATATTTTCACCTTTACTTGTATCAACAAATAGAGTATTTACATGGTGAGTATATAATGTGAGCATTATGTCAATGTAAGCGATCTTTATTTTGCATAATCCACCAAATCAAAGAAGATCTGTTAAATATTTGTCCAAATTTTACAAAAAGATCTTAGTTGATTTATAGTTTTAAATGAATTGTAACATATTTTTAAATATTTTGACAGTATACCAGTTTCAGTGTTGAGTTATCTTATTTCATTTTATTTTTTCACCACTTATTTATGAAAATTCTGTTGTCTTTCTCAAAACTAAATATTTTAAACATCTATTTAACGCTGAACGAGTTTCACCAAGTGTAATATTGGTCTGCTCCATTTATTGGATTTTAGCATACATATCAGAACCGTCTATATTCTATATGCATATTTAACTATTCTCCTTTCCATTGATCTTGCAACAAATTTTACTGTTGATACAATATTGACAAAAGTTTTTAATATGAAAAATATGTACAATTTTATAAAACTTACACATTTACTATTCCCTCTACTTCTTCATCTTCACTCTGATTTGAGAAAGATCAAATAATACAATTTATGAGAATGAAGTTTTAATAGCAGAAGTATGTCGCCGCGATAGCGATCTCTTCCAGTACATAATTTTTTACATTTTCATTATTCTAATGTATTTGTGAAGTGTTGCATTAGGAAACCAACAGCTAATTTTCTGATGAATATTTACACAGTGCGAGGGCGCGCGTTAGATAATTCGTTTCGATCGCACATATCAAGATTGCTCTGGCTGTGGCCATGTTGACAGACGTTTCTCTTTTCACAGTGAAGAGAGATACCACCTGTGTCCGAAACAGGCATATTTTATTATATTATTGGCCAATACGCAGATGTGGGTGCTTCAATGTGATTTTGGACTGACGTGAAAATTTGAAAGGTACTGTTATTATGTATAAACGATAATTTTGTACATATTATTTGAATAGTAACGGAAAATATTTAAATTATTTTATGTCAGAGAGAGATAGGTAGCTTAAATTATTTTCAAAAATAAAATTTCGGACTGAAACTGCTTTAATAAACATTAGGTTTCTATTTATTCAGAGGTGTGGTTAAATGAAATTTCCAAATTTATAATAATCTTTCATTCGCTAAAATTTTCTACTGAAGAAATAATATTATAGTAAAAATATAAACTGCTGGAGTAGAAATTTCATGTAGATAATACACTTATATTTTTACATAAAAGAATTTTAGTCTTTTTCCTAACTTTATAAAAGAAACAAAATCAGTGTACCTAGGTATCAAATTTCAAAAATTAGTATTTTACTTCAATTAGAAAAGGTAGTGGCTATTAGTGTATCTATATTTTTTAAAAAGGTAATTATTTGTACATTATATTTTAATAAATTCCATATTTTCATTTTTGATTACCTGACTGTACAATTTTACCTAATACGTCTATAAATAAAAAAATATTTTATTAATCTTATTATTTGAAACAAATAAATTCCAAAATTACAAACCAGTGGTAATAACAAAATGTTTATTAAACAATTTTCTTTTAATTTAAGCTTAAGTAGGTATAATTATAACAAGTTAATATGTTTTTGAAACAATAAACTTATTTAATTTTTGTTGTTCAATATTGCACTGTGAAACTTTTAGAAATAAAATAATCATAAAAAACGATCTTGTAAAGTGAAATAAAACAATTTTTATAAATTAAATGAAATATTAATGGCTTTTGGGAAAATATTGTGCAATATTTTGAAAAAAAAAAACACTATGTGACTGATAGGATGTATTGCACTATGAAGCTTTTAGATATAAAAATAATCATAAAAAACGATCTTGTAAAGTGAAATAAAACAATTTTTATAAATTAAATGAAATATTAAGGGCTTTTGGGAAAATATTGTGCAATGTTTTGAAAAAAAAAACACAATATGACTGATAAGATGTTGATTTATTTTTATATTAATCCTGTCAGTTTAATGTGTTATTTATTTTGTCCAATGCACAAATATGTGGTTCCAAATAAATCATGCTACTCTGAGGAGTAGGTATCTACATATCTATCTGATTTAGGGTGTGGTTCAAACAAACTGTAAGCAGGTATTATATCCCTAAAAACTGTTGCGCAATATTTTGAAAACAAATTGCACTATACCTAATTTATTTTGTCTAATGTTTAATGTATTTACCCCATCATGTTAATGTAAAACAAAACATTTAAAACGGCTGCCGCGAGTGATCTACACTCTACTAACGGTATTATCGTTTTGCATATATAATAATATTATATCTTTATTAACCAACAGTAAAAATAAATACATGTTATAAATAAAAACATAATTAAATAAAAGGTAAATATATACTGTTAATTAAAAGATCAGCATAGCTTTTATTCCTCAAAAACATTTTTTTTTTTAAATAAATTTCCTAGTGAAACAAAGTTAAACCCAGAAAACTTCTATTAACAACAAAACAAAGAAGAAGAAAAATACATTGCTTTATATTCTTATATAAAAAAGCTGTTTAATAAAATCCCTATGAATCAGCGCCTTGTTCATTAAATAACTTAAAATATAACTCTTTTTTTAAAACTATTTAGAGTTAACTTTTTCATGTCCGTGGGAAAATTATTATAACTAGTTACTAAACTAAACCGGAAAGACCTATGAAATAAAGTAGTACGATGTTGAGGTATTGTTAACCCATTAACGCTCAGCGGGTCGTTAACGACCCCGTATGTATTTAATTTTTTTTTCTTCTGTATTTCAGTTCTATAATTTTATTTTTACACAAAATCACTTCTTTGTATATTTATTTCAAACAATTTTTATAAATGTTTCGATTATTCGCATTTGTTGTAAAAAAAACTAATTATTTATTTTTAGTTACCATTACCCAGCTTACACCATCAGTTATGACAACACATAAAATATTTATTTTTTATTTTTTCCTAAAATGAGTAGTGATTATATGTTAAAATATCTTTGAAATCTAGTATTCTGTTGAAATACTTTGCAAAAATAATACACCGTTCGAGTTATTCATCACAGAACTCGCGTGGGTCGTTAGCAACCCACTGAGCACATAAGTACTTTTTTGAGGTTATGTAGTAATTGCTGTCACATGCGCTTGATTTGGTTTAGTGGTTTAGTTTAGTGTCTAATTTGTTAAAAATGAGCAAACAAACATTGAGGAAAAGGTAATCACAAGTAATTATTATTTGTATAATATGTGTATAATATTATTTTACTAAAATTTTAGGCGGCGACCACTTACAACCCATGAATTGTTATCGGAGCTAGAAAATATTGACGATGATGATCCTAATCAATATGATATATACGTTACTCCACCTAATGATACTGGAAACATAACGGATGAAGATTCCGGGGAAGACGACTCAAATGATCCTGATCGGCTGAATAAAAATCAGCTGTTAGCAGAAGCAGAACTTTATATAAACAATACACCGGCTGAGGAATTTCAAAATCAAGATCAAGATTTGGAAGATGATGATAATAATAGTAAAAGCTGTAACGTTACTGAAAACATTGTGGCACCCGCTAGGAAAAGTAAAAAATCAAAAAAAGAAGTCAGAACATGGGTAGACGGAGACTTGCAAAAGCCGCTGTTCGCGGAGTGGACAGGATCTTTTCCAATGCCACTGACTTTTAGTAGCAGTACGCACCCCTTGGATTTTTTTGAGTTATTTATAACAAAAGAAGTTATTGACGACATTGTAAGAAATACTGTTACATACGCAGCCTCTCAAAATAGAACTCTAACGTTATCCAGTTCAGAAATGTATACATTTGTTGGAATTTTATTTCTTAGCGGGTACAATATTCTTCCCAGACGTAGAATGTATTGGGAGGAATCAAGTGATGTGCAAAATATTTTAGTGTCAAAATCTATGAGAAGAAGGAGATTTGAAGAAATTTTTAGAAATCTACATCTCGTGAATAATGACGTAATAGATAGATCTGACAAAATGGCAAAAGTAAGACCTTTGATAAATGTTTTGAATGAGAAGTTTCTCAAATATATGCCAATTGAGCAGTCTCTCTCTGTAGATGAATCGATGATTCCATACTTTGGTCGCCACGGATGCAAGCAATTCATCCGTGGCAAACCCATTCGTTTTGGGTTTAAAGCCTGGGTTTTAGCCCTTCGTCTTGGGTATTGTGCTCAGCTAGACATTTATCAGGGTCGTCGAAAAGATGGTGAAGTTGAATTTGGTCTCGGAGAACATGTGGTTATGAAATTTGCAGATATTTTGAAGGAGCATTATGATGGTATCCAATTTTCGCTCTATTTTGATAATTTCTTTACGTCTGCTAAACTTGTTACTTCGTTGGGAGAAAAAGGGTTTGCAGCAACAGGCACCGTACGACAAAATCGTACAGAAAATTGCGGATTACCTGATGATGCATTTTACAAAAAAAAAGATAGAGGATCTTATGACACCAAGCTTGATCCAAATCATAACATTGTTGCCGTACGATGGAAAGATAACAGTAATGTTACATTACTCTCAAACCAGTTCGGAGCAAACCCCGTCCAGAAAGCCTCGCGATACTCTGCGAAGGACAAGGCAAAAATAAATATTCCTCAACCCAACGTTATCTCCTTATATAATAGGAATATGGGTGGTGTGGACCAAATGGACAACAATATATCTAATTATAGAATATCCATGCGTGGTAAAAAATGGTATATGCCCATTATTCTGTGGCTATTCGATGTGGCAATGAATAATGCCTGGCATGTGGCAAGAAGTTGTGGATTATCCCTTGACAACTTGTCTTTCAGAAGAGAAGTGGTCAATGCACTTCTGGCTAAATATGGAACTGCACCTCTAAGATCTGGGCCAACTTCAACTAGAAGTTATCCATTACCAGCCCGAATAAACGCCAGTCATATAATTTTAACTGATTTGCCCAGAAGAAGGTGCGTTGTTTGTAAAAATAAAACTATAAAGGGATGTTCTACTTGCGAAGTTGCACTTCATGACAAATGTTTTGCAATATATCATAAATAATATTGTATTTTGAATATTATTTTGTATTTTTTGTTTTTTTTTTGTGTTTTTTGTATTTTTGTATTTTGAATTTTTGAATAAAAGATATTTTACTTCAAATACTTACCTTATTACTACCTACCTATATGCTATGTGCTCAGTGGGTCGTAAACGACCCATGCTATAAATCTGTCATATGACAGCCTAGATTTTTTTTACTATTTTTTAGATGTTCAGGAAGCCTAAATTATTAAAAAAAATCGATGAAACAAAATATTCTCGATTAAAAAAATAGTGAGCGTTAATGGGTTAAGAGATTTTTTGCCTAATATTAATATGGACAATCAGATCTATACGTTAGCTTGTCTAATAGATATGGTGGTGATTCTTTTAAAATAACTTTATGTAGAAGTGTTAATGAATGTAATTTTTTCCTGTTAGCCATAGATAACCAATAATTGCGCAGTAGAGTATGACTGATTCTATCATTATTTTCTAATCCCAAAAATTAATCTTAAACATGCGTTTTCAAGTTTTTGCAATCTGTTTTTGTCCATGTACGTTAAACATGAGTCATAAACATAGTCACAATGATTGGCATGTGACAACACTAGGGCATCACAAATGTGACTTTTCAATTTCAAACTCAAGGCATGTCGATTAGGGTAGAGATATTTGAGATTTGCATATGATTTTTGTAATATAAAACTGACATGTTCTGAGAACCTCAAATTAGAATCAATTATACCTAGGTTTTTGTTTTTTTCAGTTATATGTAATTTGTTGTTCCCTATGTTGATAACTAATTTATCCTTTTTTAAATTTCCAAATAATACAATCTGAGTTTTAGGTGTGTTAATTTCTAGGTCGTGGTTATTGGAGGCTTGGATAAGAGCAGC